CTATGCTGACTGACGGCCAACCACGGTTTTTCATGCCTGGTGCGATTCATCTAGGAAAATTCGACCGATGGTCTTTGGGATGAAAGGATGCTATCTTTAGCAATTCGTACCGAGTCAAGAATTAGCCTCAGTGGAGGGGATTTCCCTTTCGAGACATTCTGGCCTTTGAAAAGGCGGCATATTTTAGCCGGGATATTGCACATTCCGAGGACCAAGCAGTATTTATCCACTGCTCTTTGTCAAAAGCAGGCCTGCCTTCTAGCAAGCTTCCTTCCGATACTGGGACATTGGTCAATGGACCCATGTTCTACAGAAATCGCATTTAAAAGCAGAGTCACTGATTTCGACTGGTTATGAGTATGACGTATCTGCACGACAGACTGTGTCGAGTGAGCATTGGGACTCCTTTTTCTCCTATTCTTAACTAGCCTACTGATTTTCTTAGGAATAAGATTCGAGGGAGTGATGTCTTCCTTCTGCCGTTTGAGAGCTAGTGGTGTTTGCGCTGAATGATCCAAAGTATGGACACTAGTACGAGAAATGCTTTCACGTGAGGGTTTGGGTTTTTTCACAACCCGGGCGCACGAGACTGGAATTTTTGACTACCCATTAACAACGGAGTCCACACCTCTGCAGATTTTCCTGGTTCTTATAGTGTACGATGTGCTAGCAACCTTATTACCTAACATGATACCAGAGAGATTTAGCGGTGAGAGCCGAGATAATTAGGACACGAAATACACGAAATAGGAATTTAGGAAAGAAGAATTTAGTGGTATATAATATAACTACAAGGAGTAGAATCTGAAAGTACTCCAAAATTGCAACTTTACCTTTGACCGAATTAGTAAGTAACTTCGCGTATATCCATTAACTTGTCCACAAGTCCTGCGTTTGTGAGTGAATGTGTATACTGCCGAAGCAACTAGAAAGAGAGCAGTTGATCGAGGCAGCTAGACCGCACAATGGTTCTGACTTGCAGTGATTCCTTTTACCCGAAGTTGTTTTCAGATCGTCGACCGATGAATGGAGATAACTTTTTGTAGCTTCGGGGGTGATAAAGTATCCCGAAAATGGATCGTTTCCGTAAATGAAAGGAAGTCAGCTAGGGCATGTCAAATTTTAAGCGCGCGTAATGATGAAATTTAATGTTTTATTATGGTTAAAAGAGTTTTATGGATGAGATTTAGAGCATCTCGATAAAGAAGAGAAGCTTCAATGTTCGGTGGAATTTCGTTATATATTTGGCCATCTATTGGCTATTGAGAAATTACACAACCTTGAGATTTTTTGAGGATCATTACGTCACAATTTAGTTCTATACGCTACATACGCCCATACGTACGCGTCTTCCGAAACGTGTAGACATGTAGAATAATTTTATAGTTCTATTAAAAGTGAGCTTAAATATCTAAAGTTCGCTTTCATTGATGAATTGTAGTAATGCCATGAAGAAAGTGAATAATGGATAATTCTTAAAAATTATAAACATACATTCATCTTCGACCCATCGATACAATTATCGATTAGTAGTTTAAGGTGTTTGCGTATAATATATCGGGATTTTAGCATCACCGTAGAATGTTACTGAGTTTTCATATAATAATGGGGTTTTATTCATATGCTAATGGAAATTGTTGTTTTGATATAGCCGAATACTTTACTTACTGCTCATTATCCATCACTTTTACCATGTGTAGCGCTTAAAAAAACTAGTGGTTATGAATCCGGAAAGTCTCCGTATATCAAATTTCGGGATTTTATTTGGCAGGAGACTACCTTGTAAGTAATTCGGATATAAATCCAAACTGCAGTTTGGAAGATGTATGTAAATCCAAATACATTTCCACTGTTAATTCAAAAAACTATCCTTCGTTTTGAACAAATATTATATAGAGTAGTTCTGCGGTTGTACTGATGTCAGCTGTGGTAGTACTTTGCGGACACGAGTCTAAGCAACCTTCACATAGTCCATATGATAAGGATAAGTCAGTTGCAACGTAAAACTTCGCACGTATGTACATAAGTTCATGTTGTCATACCACATCAACACAGACGCAAATGTCAAATCAAATCCCATAGTGATAAAGATAGTAGAGGTATTAACGGTAATGAAGAAGACTAGGGTTTGAAGATATTATTCAAGAAGTATAATTCAGTGAGATAAGGTTAGAAAGACAAAGGTAGAGGTGCTGACAAATCCAGAAGATTAGGATTTGAGAGAGCACAACGAATGGATGCACTTGCGCCATTGCAAACGATTTCGAGCCATGTCGTTCAAGGTCTCTAACCATTGGTGACTTTCGTCTCGCGGACCCCAACCAGGTAGCCTACATCTACCAACATGATTCAGTCCACTTGTCAGTGACTTCATGGATTTCTGCCATGTTTTGGTCTGGCCGCCCCTTACTTTCTTCCAACCTACTACTACACCACAAAACATAGCTCGTCGAGGCAGTCGGTGGTTAGGCATACGTAAAACATGTCCCAAACAACTCAACTGATGAAGTTTCACCACTTCATCGATTGATTTGCCATCCTTACCTAGTACTCGTTTCCTAACGACAGCATTGCTTACTCGGTTGTCCCACGATATACGAGCAATGCTTCGGAAACATCGATGATCGAATACTAGTAACCTACGAACATCTTCTACTCTTAACGGCCATGTTTTGCATCCGTATAGGAGAACGGAGCGAACTGCTGAGCATTACACCCGTCCTTTGGTTAGCGAACGGATATCACGCCTACGCCATAAGTGACGCAGGTTGGCAAAAGCCAATCGAGCCTTCTCTATCCGAGCTGAGATTTCGTCAGTCACCAGGCCATCAGCGCTGATGAGACTAACCAGATAAGTGAAGTGATCAACACGCTTGACTACTTCACTCCCTATCACTAGTTCAGGTACCGATGCAACCCAGTCTTGAAGAAACATTTTGCATTTCTGGGGGAGGGGAAACCGCATCCCGAACATGCTTGCATTGTTGCTTATGGTAGTCAGAAGACTCTGCATTTTGTCAGCGTCTTCACCAAGTAGGACTATGTCATCGGCATATTCTAGATCAGTAAGCGACTTGCCTGGTAGAAGGTCAACCCCTGAAAAATCTGACGAGCTTAATGTTAACTCTAAAAGGATGTCTACGACAAAGTTAAACAAGAATGGAGAGAGTGGACAGCCCTGACGGACACCACTTGATGTAGAGAATTCAGATGACAGTTCGCCATAGTCTGTAACTCGACCGGTGGTGTTCGAGTAGAGAGCTTGTATAAGGTTAATGTACTCCTTTGGTACACCTTTCAATGACAGACACTGCCACAGAACCTCACGATCCACAGAGTCAAATGCCACTTTTAGGTCCAGAAACACGACTATTGTAGGTCGTCTAAATGTGTGTCTGTGTTCCAGGACCTGTTGTAGTGTGAAAATGTGGTCTATATAACCACGTCCAGGTCGAAAACCAGACTGGTTTTCTCTAGTCTGCTCTTCACGAGCTCTAGTTAGACGTCTAACTATAATCGAGGCTAACAATTTAGAAACAATATTAGTTAAACTTATTCCCCTGTGATTGTCACAAGAGGACTTTTGTCCTTTCTTATAAATTGGGACAATTAGCGACTGAGACCAGTCAGATGGGATTACATCCAGTTCCCAGATTCTACCTAGGATCTCGGTCAGTCTAACTGTTAAAACGACCACCATCCTTTAACATCTCAGGGGTAAGCCTATCTGGACTTTCTGCTCTACCTCCTCTTAGATTTCCTATAGCTTTCTCAACTTCATGTAAACTGGGGGGACTTAAATCGATTTGCCATTCAGGATGACTGGAGATCGTGGGCAACCGAAGTGCGGCTGAAGACCAGTTGAACTGGTCCCTAAAGTGTTCTGCCCATCGGTCCAATCTCATGGATTGGGAATGGATAATAAGACCATCCTTTTCTGAGATAGTCTCACTCACATTCGGGTTCCTAATACCGGTTTCTTTGATAAGGCGGAAAAGTTGTCTAGTGTTGCCTATCGCCGTTGCCTTTTCCATCGCTTTTGCTTTCGTCACCCACCATTGTTCGCGGTCGTTACGCAGACTCTTTATAAGTCTGCGCCTAAGCTGACTACGCTCTTCATCATGTTCAGAGTCAGGTGGGATGCGTTTTCGAGCATCCATCAGTTCGGTGGATGCGACTGAAATCCACGGCTTCATCCTAGCCTTATGGTTTACCTTACTAGCAGATATCACTGCTGTTTCCACAGCCTTCTTGATATCATTCCAACTTGCCTCCGGATGGGAATCACTTGCATGGTCGCCTAACTGTTTTTCTAGTTCCTCCTGAAATATTTTCTTAGCTTGATTATCAATAAGTAAGGCCCTGAGAGGTTTTCTTGCGGTGTCTTTCCTACTTCCAGTAAGCCTCAAACAAATACGTGCTCGCACTAGAGCATGATCTGAATCTAAACATGTGACCCAGAACGAGTGGCAGTCCTCTATCGAACCACATAATAAGGATAACTCTTATATATTTCTTTTTACGAAGAAAATGGTATTACTTAAGTTTGCTAACTGTACAACATGCGGCAATTACCTAAGCTTGACCCCAGAAGCTCGTTGAGACAGTCCAAATTTCTCAAGCGTTTCCAGGTAAATGTACTTTTGTCCCGCTGATTTTCCCGGATTTTTTCGACGTACTAAAGAAATGTGGTCTGTTTTAGTTGTTTAATGCACGATAGCAGCATTTAATCAAGTTTTGATTACCATCCAATATTTATAGACACCGTGCTTAAATCATCTGACCATCGTTCAACCTTATCCAAAATATTTTTCTCGGGCGTTAGTTGCAAATTTCGCTATACAATAATACCGTACCATTTTATATATATATATATATATATATATATATATATATATATACTTACACTTATGTGGTTCCTTTGCAGATTTATTTCATCACTGTTTCTAACTCAAACGAATAATTCTCAAATAATCTTATCATAATCCCAGTCCACCTACATGTCCGTAATCACATGGGATCATGTAGACAATCAGCAAACTTTGCTTACAGAAAAACAACTGGAATCAATATTTCTGCTGAATTCATTGAATTCAATACACGGAGAAGTAGAATACAAGTTTATAATTATCCAAAACTATTCTAGATCACATCAAGTAGTACTGCCAGTCGTACCACCTTCATTGCTGATCAGACTGATAAATACGAGGGTCAAACTACGCAAGATAATGTATCGCTACATTCAGCTTCACATTTCTATTCATGGTTATGGTCCGTTGAACAAAATTTAAGTGATGAGATACCTGAAGCACCAAGGTATGAACAAATTAACTAAGACTTTATATGAAAAGTGAATTTTTGACTTTCCTATCTCGTAAAAAATTGGAATGTTCGAGGGTTTTGAGCATTGTTGAAGAAATTTTGTCCAAGTTATCTAATTTGGAAAATAATTACTTTAGCATATCGCAGAGTACTAATGAATTACATGAGTTGTGTGAACATTTATTGAGGCAACAAGTGAGTGTTTCTAGTACTAATGATCTGTGTATGTAAATAGAATGAAATGATTGAATACGCCACTTCTATTGAAGAATGTCTGGTTAATTTTGTTCAAGTGGATATGATTCAAGCTGTAAGTTTGATGTAAATCTATTTTTTTCAACCGAAGGAACTTGGAGTCTCTAATTTCGTCGTATCCCGCGAGAAATTGTTGCCGATTCTAAATAAACTCGACTCAAGTTTACTTTATTTTCGAGAACACGTAATAATACTCTTCCAAATTATTTAGTTAATCTATTTGTTTAGCCAAATTTTAAAGAATCTCAAAATTATTCAATCAAAGTAAAATCCTTGCTTAAAATTGCTCTTGAATATATTAAAAGCAATGTAACTAATGTTATGGAGAGAACTATAAATGAGCTTTTAGAGTTGCATGTAAGTTAAATCTAAGTACTTTGTATAAATTTCGTATATTTATTTCCCTCTCTAAATACATAACATAGTTCGTTTGTCAACAACAGATTTACGTCTATCTTTGAGCCACGCTACTATGTGTACATCAGAACTAATAGTACTATCTGAACCTCTAAACTTTAGTAAGTGGGACAGCATTCGTATATTCAGCCCATTGAATGTAAGTTGATTGCTGTAACCACTAAATCGATGCTCCATTTGAACAACACAATTAAAAAAACATTTGGTGAACACAATAAATTGATCCCATTTATTAAGTTTTTACCGGCTACTCACTGTATAAAAAAAACATAACCATACTGTTTTGACATGTTACTTTTTATTTCTGTAAGAGTAACTGCAAAGAAGTTGGAAATGAAAACATTAAATCTCAGAAAATAAAGAAATGAGTGTTCTATAGTAAGTAAAATACCTCACAAAGATAAAAAAAAAGCGACTAAACAGTCGTGTGGACTGTTATCTTGCCCGATGTTAGTGTCATCCTGTCCACGCTAACGATTGCTTTCCCGTAGTCAATGAAGTTGATATACAGTGATGAATTCCATTCACTTGATTGTTCCAAAGTCATCCGAAATGTCACGATCTGGTCACTACATGACTGATCCTTACGGAATCCAGCCTGCTGATCTCGAAGCCGAGCGTCTACTGATTCTTTCATCCGGTTTAACAACACTGTTGGAGACTTTTCCTGTTACCTCCTTCCTGTAGTATCTTGATGAGATGTCCTTCGTTTCAGTCTGTTGGTCTTTGTTCTTCTCCCCAAATATGGCTGAAGAGAGCGTGGAGTATCTTTGCAGTTACTTTTATGTCTGCTTTCAGTGCCTCAGCTGGAATGGTGTCTAGTCCTGCTGTTTTTTGGCTCTTTATTTGTCTGATAGTCATGCTGATCTCTTCAGTTGTTGGTGAGTCAAGATTAATTTGGAGGTCCGTATGTGCTGCTTCCATGTTGGGTGTGTTCAGTGGGGCTGATCAGTTCAAGAGCTCTTCAAAGTGCTCTCCCCATCTATTTCTCGGTTCTCCAATGTCGGTAATTACTTTACCTTCCTTTTTCTTGACGGATCGTTCTGATTTTCGGTATTTCCCAGCAAGCTTCTTCGTCGTATCACATAGTTGTCTCACGTTTGTTTCTATTGCACTCTTTTCCGACATCATTGCTAGTTCTTCCACACATTTACGTTTGTCAGTGTTAGTTCGCCTCTTCACCTGTTTGTTTGCTTCTGTGTATTCAACTTGTAGTGCTGCCATCTTGTTCTCTCTTTCTTGAATCTTATCCAGAATATCAACAGGGATCCATTCCTTGTAATGGTGCTTCTTTTGACCGAAAACCTCTTGACATGTTGAAGTTACTGCTTCCTTAATCTCCCTCTACTGTTTCTGCATGGTGCTTCCTCCTCTCAGTAGATCAACAAGGGCTTGGAACTGGTTACTGAGAGCTACCTTGAATTATTTTAGTTTGCCAGTCTCCCGAGGAAAGACTGTATCAAACTTTTGTGATGCTGTTCTAGCAGTTGTCAAGTTCCGCTTGAGTATCGATTTCACCCCCCTATCAGTGTTTGTTGTGCTACTTTGGACAGCATTAGTGCAACTTATTGTGTTTGTAAGGCATTTCCTTCTTTGGTGGTGTTCCATTCTCCAGCTCAGAGATCATTACACCACCACAGTCATTCACCTGAGCTACACATTCTCTTCTCCATTGCTGGTATATATCATCCCAAAGCTAGTCTTTGTTGTCCAACCTCCGTCAAATCTGTTTTATTGATTTCGAATACCACTAGGTTGTACCTTTTCAGATTACTTACTTACTTACTTTCTTCTGTTACCCCCAATCGAGCATAGGCCGCCCACCAGTTTTCGCCAACCAACTCTGTCCTGGGCTTCCCTCTCTAGTTCTGTCGAATGTTTGTTCATTCCTCTCATATCTTTCTCTATTTCTCGGCTTAATGTGTTCCTTGGCCTTCCTCTTTTCCTTTTGCCTTGAGGGTTCCATGTGAGGGCTTGTCTCGTGACGCAGTTAGGTGCTTCTCGTATTGTGTGTCCTATCCACTTTCACCGCTTCTTCCAGATTTCCTCATCCACTGGAATCTGGTTTGTTCTCTCCCACAGTTCGTTGTTGCTGATGGTGTCTTGCCAACGAATACGAAGTATTTTGCGTAGACAGCTGTTAATAAACACTTGTATCTTCTGGATGTTGGCTTTCGTAGTTCTCCATGTTTCCGCTCCATACAGTAGAACTGTCTTGACTTTCGTATTGAAAATCCTGATTTTGGTTTTGGTTGAAAGTTGTTTGGAGTTCCAGATATTTTTCAACTGTAGAAACGCAGCCCTTGCTTTGCCAATCCGTGCCCTCACATCTGCATCGGAACCAATCTTTCTCGTCGATGATGCTGCCCAGATATGTAAAGGTGTTAACGTCCTCCAAGGCATCTCCATCAAGAGAGATTTGGTTGGTGCATGTTGTGTTGCATCGGAGAATGTTGCTTTTTTCTTTATGTATGTTGAGACCTACTGCTGCTACACTGGTCGTCTTCTCTTGCATTTGTTGTTGCGTGTGCGATAGAAGAGCCAAGTCATCTGCGAAGTCCAGATCGTCCAGCTGAGTCCTAACTGTCCAGTTTATACCGTGCTTCCCTCCAGACGTCGACGTCTTCATAATCCAGTCGATGAGCAGGAGAAAGAGAAAGGGTGAGAGTAAGCAACCTTGCCTGACACCGGTCTTCACCTCGAAAGACTCTGTTAGCTGTCCTCCGTGCACGATTTTGCAGTTGAATCCATCATAAGAGTTTCGTATGATGTTAACTATTTTCTCAGGCACACCGTAGTGTCGAAGAAGCCTCCACAGTGTTTTCCTGTCCACGCTATCGAATGCTTTCTCGTAGTCGATGAAGTTGATGTAGAGTGGTGAGTTCCATTCAATTGATTGTTCCACAATGATCCGTAATGTAGCAATTTGGTCAGTACACGATCGATCTTTACGAAATCCGGCCTGTTGATCTCGATGTTGGATGTCTACGAAGTCCTTCATTCTGTTTAACAATACCCTGTTGAAGACTTTGCCTGCTATTGAAAGAAGAGTGATGCCTCTGTAGTTCTCACACTTGCTGAGATCGCCTTTGTTTGGTATTTTAATGAGGTATCCTTCTTTCCAATCTGATGGTACTTGTTCCTCATCCCAAATCTTCTTGAAGAGGATGTGAAATATTTTCGCAGTTGCTTCTACATCTGCTTTCATTGCCTCTGCTGGAATGTTGTCTGGTCTTGCTGCTTTGCCGCTCTTGATTTGTCTGATGGCCATACAGATCTCCCCAGTTGTAGGTGCGCCAATATTAATTGGGAGGTCCGTGAATGCTGCTTCGATGTTGGGTGTGTTCAGTAGAGCTGGTCGATTCAAGAGTTCCTGAAAGTGCTCTTTCCACCTATTTCGCTGTTCTTCAGTGTTGCTGATTACTTTGCCTTCCTTGCTTTTCACTGGTCGTTCTGGTTTACGATAGTTTCCGGCGAGCTTCTTTGTAGTTTCGTACAATTGTCTCAAGTCTCCGTCTCTTGCAGCCTTTTCGGCCGTGATTGCTACATCTTCCACATATTTTCGTTTGTCAGCTCTGATGCTCTTCTTCACTTCCCTGTTTGCTTCTGTGTATGCAGCTTGTTCGGTAACTTTCTCTGCTCTTGTTCGGCTGGCATTGATTGCTGCCTTCTTGTTCCTCCTTTCTTCAATTTTTGCAAGAGTATCAATAGAGATCCATTCCTTGTGATGGTACTTCTTGCGACCCAGAACTTCGTGACATGTTGAAGTGATTGCCTCCTTAATCCTTTTCCAATTGTTCTCCAATGTTGCGTCCTCTCCATTGTGTAGATCCTGAAAGGCCTGGAACCTATTGGTGAGGGCTATCCTGAATTCGTTGAGCTTTACAGTATCCCGAAGAAAGGCCGTATTAAACTTCTGTGATGTCTGTCCCGTTGTCCAGTGCTTCTTTAGTTTCAGTTTGATTTTGGCGATTAGCAAATGGTGATCTGAGGCTATATCATCTCCTCTCTTGGTTCTTAGATCCTCCATGGTCCTTCTGAACGTTTTGTTGATACAGATATGGTCAATTTGGTTTTGAGTAATGTGATCCGGTGAAATCCATGTAGCTTTGTGTATGCGTTTGTGCGGGAATATTGTGCCACCGATGACCAGTTTGTTGAAGGCACATAGGTTTGCAAATCTCTCACCGTTTTCGTTCCTTTCTCCTGGTCCATGTCGTCCCATGATATCATCATATCCAGTGTTGTCCATGTCAACCTTGGCATTCAGGTCTCCGATAAGAATCGTCAAATGCTTTGGTGAACATTTCTCGACGATTGATTGCAGCCTTTCGTAGAATTGATCTTTGACGTCGTCATTGTAGTCATTGGTAGGTGCATAGCATTGGATGACGTTCATTGTAAAGACCTCTTTCTTTGTTTTGAAGGATGCTTTAATGATCCTTGGTCCATGAGATTCCCATCCTATTAGTAGTGCCTTTTGTGCATGTTTGGACAGCATCAGTACAACTCCTTGTGTATGTGAAGCATTTTCCTCTTCATGACCAGAGTATAACAGCAGTTCCCCTGAAGCTAGTCTCAGTTGTCCTACCTGTGTCCAATGCGTTTCACTAATGCCGAGCATCTTGAGGTTGTATCTTTTCGTTTCTGTCGCAACTTGAAATAGTCTTCCAGTCTCCCACAATGTACGAATGTTCTATGTACCTAAAAGTATGGTTGCTCTGGTTGTCAGAAGATGCATCGACCTCGTGTTTTCCGAGGGGACTCAGCTTTCATCACGCGACGTCATAATTCTTCTTCCAACTCCCAGGGCAGAGTTAAAATGGTTCGAATTAGTTTTTCTGGTTAGCTTTTTTTTCGCAAGTTAGTTTTTGACGGAATGGGGTCGCCAACCCCATGTCCAACCCTCCTCCTTTACCCGGGCTTGGGATCGGCAGTAGCCACGAAGGTTCTACTGGCGGAGTTCATCTGACTGGTCTCAGTCGCTAATTGTCCCAATTTATAAGAAAGGACAAAAGTCCCCTTGTGACAATCACAGGGGAATAAGTTTAACTAATATAGTTTCTAAATTGTTAGCCTCGATTATAGTTAGACGTCTAACTAGAGCTCGTGAAGAGCAGACTAGAGAAAACCAGTCTGGTTTTCGACCTGGACGTGGTTATATAGACCACATTTTCACACTACAACAGGTCCTGGAACACAGACACACATTTAGACGACCTACAATAGTCGTGTTTCTGGACCTAAAAGTGGCATTTGACTCTGTGGATCGTGAGGTTCTGTGGCAGTGTCTGTCATTGAAAGGTGTACCAAAGGAGTACATTAACCTTATACAAGCTCTCTACTCGAACACCACCGGTCGAGTTAGAGACTATGGCGAACTGTCATCTGAATTCTCTACATCAAGTGGTGTCCGTCAGGGCTGTCCACTCTCTCCATTCTTGTTTAACTTTGTCGTAGACATCCTTTTAGAGTTAACATTAAGCTCGTCAGATTTTTCAGGGGTTGACCTTCTACCAGGCAAGTCGCTTACTGATCTAGAATATGCCGATGACATAGTCCTACTTGGTGAAGACGCTGACAAAATGCAGAGTCTTCTGACTACCATAAGCAACAATGCAAGCATGTTCGGGATGCGGTTTCCCCTCCCCCAGAAATGCAAAATGTTTCTTCAAGACTGGGTTGCATCGGTACCTGAACTAGTGATAGGGAGTGAAGTAGTCAAGCGTGTTGATCACTTCACTTATCTGGTTAGTCTCATCAGCGCTGATGGCCTGGTGACTGACGAAATCTCAGCTCGGATAGAGAAGGCTCGATTGGCTTTTGCCAACCTGCGTCACTTATGGCGTAGGCGTGATATCCGTTCGCTAACCAAAGGACGGGTGTAATGCTCAGCAGTTCGCTCCGTTCTCCTATACGGATGCAAAACATGGCCGTTAAGAGTAGAAGATGTTCGTAGGTTACTAGTATTCGATCATCGATGTTTCCGAAGCATTGCTCGTATATCGTGGGACAACCGAGTAAGCAATGCTGTCGTTAGGAAACGAGTACTAAGTAAGGATGGCAAATCAATCGATGAAGTGGTGAAACTTCATCAGTTGAGTTGTTTGGGACATGTTTTACGTATGCCTAACCACCGACTGCCTCGACGAGCTATGTTTTGTGGTGTAGTAGTAGGTTGGAAGAAAGTAAGGGGCGGCCAGACCAAAACATGGCGGAAATCCATGAAGTCACTGACAAGTGGACTGAATCATGTTGGTAGATGTAGGCTACCTGGTTGGGGTCCGCGAGACGAAAGTCACCAATGGTTAGAGACTTTGAACGACATGGCTCGAAATCGTTTGCAATGGCGCAAGTGCATCCATTCGTTGTGCTCTCTCAAATCCTAATCTTCTGGATTTGTCAGCACTTCTACCTTTGTCTTTCTAACCTTATCTCACTAAATTATACTTCTTGAATAATATCTTCGAACCCTAGTCTTCTTCATTACCGTTAATACCTCTACTATCTTTATCACTATGGGATTTGATTTGACATTAGCGTCTGTGTTGATGTGGTATGGCAACATGAACGTATGTACACACGTACGTAGTTCTACGTTGCAACTGACTGACTGTTACATGTATGATGAAACAGTAATTTGCGGTAAACTAATACTTAAATATAAAACTATATTTTCGGTTGTGAGCTGTGCGACAGTCAGTAATACTGACTGACTATGTGGACTGAGTAGGTAGAGTTGCCTTTAAGTGTATAATTCCGTTGTTAAAATAGAATGGTCTAACCTCGAACCTACTACTCCTCCAACATCATTTGATCAATAAGATAGTGATAAGAGATACAATTTTAAATAGTAGTTCAGAGAAAATATATGGAATATGCCTTTAGGAGAAATCGAAAGTAACAATTTTTAATATTGTTAGAAAATGAAGAAATGATCATGTGTCTGCTTTTTAATATTTCTAAATTAGGTAGAAAAATTCGAATATAGCTAAACTTCTGTGTATTGACCTTTTTAGAGGCACTGAGTAAGTTCAAGTTGTGGTATGGTAACTTGAACTGATGTACTTAAGTACGAAGTTCTACTTTGCTATTGATTGATTGATATTGTGATGAGCTATTGCATCATTAAAAAAAGCGTTAAGTGCCTTACATAGATATTATAGTGTGATTAGGCACGTATTCTGATTTGAAGATGCTAATTTCGCTCCTGGGAGACTCTAGTGTTGTATTTGTATGATGTTGTTGATGCTTCTCAAAAGTGCACATTATTTCATCACACTTTTCTTATTGTATTAGTGGATGAGAGTTTTATCATTGTACTTCCTTAAGCATTTCCAACCGAACTTTCCTCATTTACCTGGACGTTATTTTGTGTTCATAACTGTCATTTTTTTTAAGTCACAGTTACATCCGAATACTGTACTTTTAATTCTGTTAATGTCCTGATTAGAATTTTTTATTTTATTTTATAATAAATTTCATCTGTATACTTCATAGGATGTTATCAGTCCTGAAAACTCATTTATTTTACTTTATGGACGATTTCGTTCACAAGGACCAAAAATACGCTCTTTGATGTCACTTTTAGAAGAAAGAGTACACGTTGCTGATGAGTAAGTTTTAAGGATAACATTATACTAGTTAATATTTTTAATAATATTTCATCTGCATCTAGTTTAAATTGTTTCTTCTCATTATTGTTATTGTTGTTGGAAAAGTTATGTTGAACGTTACCAATGATCATTACAGATACTGTGTGTTATATTTATGGTATTGCTTTATCACAATATAATAACTAGCTCCTGCTAATACATATTTATGATTCAACAATGTCCGATAGTAAATTTTAATAATATTTTAGTATTGCTCAACATTACAATGCATAAACCATTGTCGTTTGCTTTACGGATATGAAGCTTGGATAATAAAATCAGAAAGCAGGAGTAGGCCGAAAGGATTCGATTTTCCTTTTTTTAGCAGCACCTATCGCATACTGTCGAACCTCCCATTAAAATTAGGGCCTTACTTGGAATGCGAAATCCTACTGGTAATGCTGTAAACTTCCGTTATCCGAGTTGGTTCCGAGTTTCTTCGTAAATCATCATCCCCTACCTAATAAAAACGTACTTGCTTAGGCTTGTTATGCCTCGTGGAGCATAGGCTGCCAATCCGGATTCTCCAAACAACCCTGTCCTCCACTCCCCTTCCCAGTTCTTTCCAATTACTATTCATTCTTTTCATGTCTGCCTCTAATTCCAGACGCGATGTGTTCTTTGATCTGCTTCTTCCCTTAACTTTTCGGAATCCCAGTCAGGGCTTGGTTCGCAATGCAGTTGTGTAATTTTCGCACTCTGTCCCATCCAACTCCAGCGCTTTTTCCTAGTTTCTTCCTCAACTAGAATCTGGTTTGTTCTCTTCCATAGTAGGTTGTTGCTGCTGGTGTCTGGTCAACGGATCCGGACTATGTTATGTACACAGCTGTTTGTAAATACCTTTATCTTTTGAATGCTAGCTTGCAAAGTTTACCAAGTTTCCACTGCATACAATGAAACTGTCTTGACATTTACACTGAAAATTCTGACATGGGTGTTTGTTGACAGTTGTTTTTTTTAGTTTCAGATGTTTAATTGTAGAAATGCTGCCTTTGCTTTTCTGATCTGTGTTTTTACATTTGCATCAGATCTGCATTTGTCAGTGATGCTGCTCAAGTATGTAAAGATTTCCACAACTTCCGTCAAATTATGTTTGGTTGGTGAATATTGTGCTGTATTGGAGGGTCTTCATTTTTAACTTGTGTTGAGGCCTACTGCGTCAAAGGCTGCTGCTACTGTCAGCCAACAACAACAGAGAACTTTGTATGTGCGTACATCAGTTCAAGTTGCCATACCATATTAGCACAGAGATGTAATTGTCACTTCAAATCCCGTAGTAGCAGAGGCAGTAGAAGTATTAACACTAATGGGAAATTCTAGGGTTCGACGATATTATTCAAGAAGTAGAATATAGTGGAAGAAATTTAAAAAGAAAAAGATAAAGGTGATGGGGAGTTCAGGAAATTACGAATTGAGATAACACAAAAAGTGGATGCACGTACGCCATTGTTAACGATTCTGAGTCATGTCATTCAAGGTTTCTAATCATGCATTACTATCATCTAGCAAACACCAACCGAGTAGTCGACACCTACTAACACGTCTCAGTCCACTTGTCAGTGACTTCATGGATTTGTGCCATGTTTTTGTTTGGCCAACCCTAGCTTTCGTCCAACCTACTCCTACACCACAAAACATAGCTCGTCGAGGCAGTCGGTGGTTAGACATACGTCACACATGTCTAAACAACCTCGATCGATGAAATTCCAATACTTCATCTATTGATTTTCTACCTCTACGTAGAACTTGTTTCCTAACGACAGCATTGCTTACTCGGTTGTCCCATGATACACGAGCAGTGCTTCGGAGACACCTATGATCGGAAACCAGTAACCTACGAATATATTCTACTCTGACTGGCCATGTTTCGCAGCCATAAAGTAGGACGATACACGTAATCAGTACATGTTTTTCACAATTTTAACTCAAAACGTTTCAATGATCTGAATTTTATAGTCTGGTTACGAGATTTCATTTTCGTAATCGAATCACGAAAAATTATATTTTCACACTTTTGAATTTCAATCTTTTGGCTTACCTGTCAGGAACACTAGGCTGGAATGTATCAATCGTTACCGGTCCAGTCAGATCAAAACGTTTCAATGATCTGAATTTTATAGTCTGGTTATGAGATTTCATTTTCGTAATCGAATCACGAAAAATTATATTTTCACACTTTTGAATTTCAATCTTTTGGCTTACCTGTCAGGAACACTAGGCTGGAATGTATCAATCGTTACCGGTCCAGTCAGATCCAGTAATCATGCATGCATGCATAGAGTTTTTCCAAATTTGTTTGTGCGAAGCAATCAAATAAATTTTCATAGTATTAAACTTGTAAAATTATTTGGCGATTAACTTCAGTTGAATATCCATTAGTATGCTATTTCTATTTCAGATATGTTCAAATAATGCAAGATTGTCATAAATTTTACTTACATCATCGAGAAGAACTATTAACACCAGTTGCTCAAAATGGAATTTTAGATCTTGTTCAAAAATATTCTGATGATCATTGTGCATTGCTTCGATCTGCTGGAACATTCATGTTGCATATGTGTGAAGATGAAATGCGTTTGTTTAATCAATTCTTTTCACCGAAATTTTCACAATCAATTAAGTAAGCTCTAAAGATTTTTAAAATTTCTAAATTCTATTCACAAAGCTTAAAACATGATTATAATAATTAGTGATAGTGATAATAATCAATGTACACATTTTGGGTATTTTTTTTTCATGTAAACAATCATCACTTTTTAATATCAATTGAGAATATTTTTTGTTTCAATGATCAAAACAATATATATTTCCTTTTAAAATAATTGGCTGGATATCTACATTGATTAAAAGTGGCTTTTATGGTATCCGATTATTTATCGGGCAGCACTATATCTCTGTTTAGAAGATCACTTTATGTTTTATTAAGATCGATATGACTGACAAACGTAAATATTCTTTACTTTAGTTATGTATAAAAGGTTATGCTTGAAGCGATATTTGATGAATTGGCTATTTGATCACTAAAGGTCTCAATTAGTTTATTTTTAATTTCGTGCATATTCATTTTTGTATTCGAATCGTGTCTATGTGTGTGTTAATATACATTTACTGTCAAAAACTGATGTATGATTTGAAAAATGTTTATAGCGAGATCATAAACTACTTACTGTTATACTAAATTATATCTGTTCATCTTATATTTTGATATTGATGTCAAAAAGATATGAATTTTCATAAGAGGTGACTAATCGTTTGCTAAACGTTAACGAATTGTATTAAAGGAGTCATAATGAATACTGACTTCTGTAATGTTGGAACAGTAATGACACATGGTTAGTGTTATGCACTAATAACGATTGTACTTGTCTTCGCATTTCTTGCTGACACTAGTAAATGTTATTTCATTGAAATCATGAACTGACAACCATTGAAAATCTTGGAGCACTAAGCGACCGTTTCTTCTTAGTGTACAACTAAAACCTCTCATTCAGCAATCGAACTCAGGATCTTCGGTATTGCCCGCGAACACTCAACTTCCAAGCCACTGAGCGGATATCCAACAGTATTGATGTCAAAATTTAATCAGTTCCACATATCATGGATTATTGCCGTACGGATGTATTTTGAAGTTTATCACATATCTCTTCGTTAGATTCCCAGATGTCCAAAATTACTCGTAAATAAACCATCGGTTAAAGTTGGACACACACATGACTGGAGATTCTGGGTTCGACCGTCGTTCGGCATCATGGATTCACACTGTTGACCAGTTCAATGCTTTCAGGTTTTTTTAATGATGATCTGTTCATGATTTTAATGAAACTTGACAATTCCCACAACTATATACTATTAAATTTTATTCCCTTTTTTCATTTCTAGTCAAATGTTAAATAAATTATGTCGATGTTTATATGATGCTGTTAGACCTTTAATAATTCATATCAACCATATTGAAATATTATCTGAACTATGTGATATATTGAAAGATGAATTACTTCAACATGATGAGATGAAAACTACAACTAAATGTAAGTATAGTTAATTTAACTAAAAGCATTCTTTTATATCATTTTATATTTTTATACTTCCAAGTTAACATCTACATATTGATATGACATTTTTGAAATTTCATTCCAACTGACCTGAATTTCTTTACAGTATATCCTTAATTTAAGCACCTGTTGGATTATATTATTCGTAGGTCAGTTGAATGTTAACCCTCTATTTTTGTCGTATGTAAAAAGTACCTATCAGTAGAATTGCATAGATGTAGAAAAGATGTTGAAAAGACGCGGAAAATTCCTTTTGTTGAAACGTCTTCATTTGTCAAATGACTCTCTCAGTCAGTCAGTCAGTTGCAACGTAGAACTTCGTACGTATGTACATAAGTTCATGTTGCCATACCACAGCACAGAGACGCAAATGTCAAATCAAATCCCATAGTGATAAAGATAGTAGAGGTATTAATGTTAATAAAGAAGACTAGGGTTCGAAGATATTATTCAAGAAGTATAATTCAGTGAGATAAGGTTAGAAAGACAAAGGTAGAAGTGCTGACAAATCCAGAAGATTAGGATTCGAGAGAGCACAACGAATGGATGCACCTGCGCCATTGCAAACGATTTCGAGCCATGTCGTTCAAAGTCTCTAACCATTGGTGACTTTCGTCTCGCGGACCCCAACCAGGTAGCCTACATCTACCAACATGATTCAGTCCACTTGTCAGTGACTTCATGGATTTCCGCCATGTTTTGGTCTGGCCGCCCCTTACTTTCTTCCAACCTACTACTACACCACAAAACATAGCTCGTCGAGGCAGTCGGTGGTTAGGCATACGTAAAACATGTCCCAAACAACTCAACTGATGAAGTTTCACCACTTCATCGATTGATTTGCCATCCTTACCTAGTACTCGTTTCCTAACGACAGCATTGCTTACTCGGTTGTCCCACGATATACGAGCAATGCTTCGGGAACATCGATGATCGAATACTAGTAACCTACGAACATCTTCTACTCTTAACGGCCATGTTTTGCATCCGTATAGGAGAACGGAGCGAACTGCTGAGCATTACACCCGTCCTTTGGTTAGAGAACGGATATCACGCCTACGCCATAAGTGACGCAGGTTGGCAAAAGCCAATCGAGCCTTCTCTATCCGAGCTGAGATTTCGTCAGTCACCAGGCCATCAGCGCTGATGAGACTCCCCAGATAAGTGAAGTGATCAACACGCTTGACTACTTCACTCCCTATCACTAGTTCAGGTACCGATGCAACCCAGTCTTGAAGAAACATTTTGCATTTCTGGGGGAGGGGAAACCGCATCCCGAACATGCTTGCATTGTTGCTTATGGTAGTCAGAAGACTCTGCATTTTGTCAGCGTCTTCACCAAGTAGGACTATGTCATCGGCATATTCTAGATCAGTAAGCGACTTTCCTGGTAGAAGGTCAACCCCTGAAAAATCTGACGAGCTTAATGTTAACTCTAAAAGGATGTCTACGACAAAGTTAAACAAGAATGGAGAGAGTGGTCAGCCCTGACGGACACCACTTGATGTAGAGAATTCAGATGACAGTTCGCCATAGTCTCTAACTCGACCGGTGGTGTTCGAGTAGAGAGCTTGTATAAGGTTAATGTACTCCTTTGGTACACCTTTCAATGACAGACACTGCCACAGAACCTCACGATCCACTGAGTCAAATACTGCTTTTAGGTCCAGAAAAACAACTATTGTAGGACGTCTAAATGTGTGTCTGTGTTCCAGGACCTGTTGTAGTGTGAAAATGTGGTCTATATAACCACGTCCAGGTCGAAAACCAGACTGGTTTTCTCTAGTCTGCTCTTCACGAGCTCTAGTTAGACGTCTAACTATAATCGAGGCTAACAATTTAGAAACTATATTAGTTAAACTTATTCCCCTGTGATTGTCACAAGAGGACTTTTGTCCTTTCTTATAAATTGGGACAATTAGCGACTGAGACCAGTCAGATGGGATTACATCCAGTTCCCAGATTCTACCTAGGATCTCGGTCAGTCTAACTGTTAAAACGACCACCATCCTTTAACATCTCAGGGGTAAGCCTATCTGGACTTTCTGCTCTACCTCCTCTTAGATTTCCTATAGCTTTCTCAACTTCATGTAAACTGGGGGGACTTAAATCGATTTGCCATTCAGGATGACTGGAGATCGTGGGCAACCGAAGTGCGGCTCGAGGCCAGTTGAACTGGTCCCTAAAGTGTTCTGCCCATCGGTCCAATCTCATGGATTGGGAATGGATAATAAGACCATCCTTTTCTGAGATAGTCTCACTCACATTCGGGTTCCTAATACCGGTTTCTATGATAAGGCGGAAAGCTGTCTAGTGTTGCCTATCGCCGTTGCTTTTTCCATCGCTTTTGCTTTCGCCAACCACCACTGTTCGCGGTCGTTACGCAGACTCTTTATAAGTCTGCGCCTAAGCTGACTACGCTCTTCATCATGTTCAGAGTCAGGTGGGATGCGTTTTCGAGCATCCATCAGTTCGGTGGATGCGACTGAAATCCACGGCTTCATCCTAGCCTTATGGTTTACCTTACTAGCAGATATCACTGCTGTTTCCACAGCCTTCTTGATATCATTCCAACTTTCCTCCGGATGGGAATCACTTGCATGGTCGCCTAACTGTTTTTCTAGTTCCTCCTGAAATATTTTCTTAGCTTGATTATCAATAAGTTAGGCCCTGAGAGGTTTTCTTGCGGTGTCTTTTCTACTTCCAGTAAGCCTCAAACAAATACGTGCTCGCACTAGAGCATGATCTGAATCTAAACATGTGACCCAGAACGAGCGACAGTCTTCTATCGAACCCCTCCATCGGTGGCTGATGGCGATGTGATTTAGTTGCGTCCAACGTTGAGACGACTTTGGAGGTCGCCAGGTCTACAGATGATTTTCCTTATGCCTAAAGTTAGTGTTTGCTAAGAATAGGCGATTGTCTGAGCATTCTTGCAACAGATGGTCACCATTGTCTGTTCTCTGAGTCGCGACACCATAACATCCACCTAGGTGTCTTTCATTTTCACTTAGTCTACCTACTTGAGCATTAAAGTCACCATCCATTATTACTATAACAAAGCGCTTAACTTTTTGGAGAAGGTCCGAAAGCTGTCTGTAAAACTCATCTTTTACATCGTCTGGACTGCAGTCAGTGGGGGCGTAGGCTGATATGACGAAGACGCAACTTTGAGTGTCCCTATCTTTCCGAGCCCTTACTGTCCTGTTCAGTCGGACGGCGCACAAGCGACTATCTGCAGGGATCCAGTCAAGGAGAGACTGTTCTGCCCTACTACTCAATGCTATAACTACACCAGCAAGACCCCTGGAAGCATCATCAGGGCTACCGGATACACGAACGGTCAATCGAGCTGCTTTTTCATCTTGACATGGTGAGGTCAAGTGAATGATGCTACTCGGATCCTGTATGCGCGTTTCCGAGACGCAGCACACATCGATGGAACGAGATTCTAAACTCCTAGCTAATGATGCCTGTTGTCCTATTTGACACAATGTCCGTCCATTGAATGCTTCATCATGTATTTTGGAACGGGGTTTCAAGGGACCAGGAACGACGTTTCGCGAACTCGCATCGTTTGCATTAGCTTTACACTGTGATAAATGAATGTGAGAAGAGTTAGTCGTGGAGATAAGAGAGGTATGTGTGGGTGTAGGAAGGATTTAATTTTGAACAATTTGGTCTCGTGTGCTGTTGCGGTTATGAGGGCGGTTGTCACTTCCCGGCTGCCCACACCGTGGAATGTTGTTTCTTGAGGGACCTGAAAAGGAAGATAGATTAGTGTTGGTCTCGGAGACCTGGTTGCGTGACGGTAGAGTCTTAGGGACAACTGCTTGAGGCCGGTCACGCACGGCCTTTTTATGAGAGGTTTTTCGAGGATTAGCTCCGCTCTTGAAAGCCCTTAGTGGGCACCCTTACGACCGGAGACGGAAATCCGTGAGGTAGGTTGAGCTGTGACAATTTTAGGGTCGACCTTTTCTAACCCTTCCTTCCTTGTGAGAAGGCAGCTTCGTTGCGGATGCTGGTTGTCCGAGGGAAACACCCTACTGCTGTCACACCCCTCTGCAGTCAGCAGTACGACTTCGCCCTCAGACCTGGGGTAGCTGCTTTTAGTCTGATCGTTCTCCAATCGACCAGCCTGGGATGGTAGGACCTGTAGGAACATGTGTTCCAGCCAGTACAGCTCGGTTGGGTCATCACGATAGGCGAGCGCGACCACCACGTCAAGGTAGCAGTTCCGGTCGGGAAGTGACTCTCTCTCTCTAATATATATGTATATACTAAGTTGTAAAGAGTAACATCAATTATTTATTCAAATTTATCATTTACAACAGATTCGCCTAATTGTTGAGTATTTTTTTAAGAACAACATTCATTCACTTGCCATTGTCGCTTCAAAATGTTTTTCAATCTTTCAACATTAAAATCAAAGTGCTTTTATGTTATAACAACGTTGTTTCATAGTCTGTAAACTTTCCAACCTAACAATAGAATTATTTTTAAAAATCCTGTAACTTAAAAGTGAAGGATTGTTGTGGTAAGCAACAGTTTCAACTTACCTTCAATAGTAGATTGCTTGATGCGGTCATCAAAAAACACAATCCATAAAGCGCGCTTCTTTATAATGACTGAAAGCGAATAGAATTACAGCAATTACTATGAATCACACGGTTGTGTTAAACTCGCACAACAGTTAAGTAACGGAAAATAAATTCCATATCCTATATAAAACAATTATGTCTCATATATTTAAATTTGAGTAGAATAGGGAGATGAAACATTAATACAGATGGAATAATCAATTAAAGTGTAAAAACACACACATGGGCTGATAGAACGATTGATTTGTTACTTCAAATTAGCAATCTGTACGATTGATAAGTAGTATGGTTTAGCATGTGACAAACAAGCAAAAATGAAAAGTTGAAAATAAACTCACGTTAACTATGGCTTAAACAATAGTGAATAATTTAGTCACTAAAATTAGAAAAGCAGTCTGAAAGAAAAAGCGTTAAAATTTAACGAATGAAATATATTCTTGTTGGTGTATGATATCTTTTTATTGTGTTTAGTATATTTTTATTTTTTAATTAACTTTTAATGTTCAAAAGTTAAGCTATTTCAATCTGCAGTAATACTGTCATACTGTTCATTTTATGCACATGGATAAAACTTGTCAGCAGTTCTGCTGTCATAATCAAGTACACAATCCCCTGTACTGAGCAAAGCAAATAAAGTTTAATTAAAACTTGTTGACAATAAATTCATTATTGATTACATTCCGATTATCTTATATTTGCATGATTTTTTATTTGTTATAGATAAGATATATTTATTCATTTTATGTTGTGTTTTTTTAACCTAAAGCACCAGACATTGTAGCGTTTACTGATCTTTGTGGTATGTTACTGGCTGATATTCAAGAACGATTAATATTTCGAGCACATATATACATTAAATCACAAATTTTCGGTTTTGTTCCAAGTCCTGGAGATCTTTCTTATCCTGAAAAATTGGAAATGATGAGCGTAAGAAAATAATATCCAATTATATATATATATATATATATATACATATACTTACTTACTTACTTACTTACGTACGCCTGTTACCCCCAATTGAGCATAGGCCGTCCACCAGTTTTCGCCACCCAACTCTGTCCTGGGCTTCCCTCTCTAGTTCTGTCGAATGTTTGTTCATTCCTCTCATATCTTTCTCTATTTCTCGGCTTAATGTGTTCCTTGGCCTTCCTCTTTTCCTTTTGCCTTGAGGGTTCCATGTGAGGGCTTGTCTCGTGACGCAGTTAGGTGCTTCTCGTATTGTGTGTCCTATCCACTTTCACCGCTTCTTCCAGATTTCCTCATCCACTGGAATCTGGTTTGTTCTCTCCCACAGTTCGTTGTTGCTGATGGTGTCTTGCCAACGAATACGAAGTATTTTGCGTAGACAGCTGTTAATAAACACTTGTATCTTCTGGATGTTGGCTTTCGTAGTTCTCCATGTTTCCGCTCCATACAGTAGAACTGTCTTGACATTTGTATTGAAAATCCTGATTTTGGTTTTGGTTGAAAGTTGTTTGGAGTTCCAGATATTTTTCAACTGTAGAAATGCAGCCCTTGCTTTGCCAATCCGTGCCCTCACATCTGCATCGGAACCAATCTTTCTCGTCGATGATGCTGTCCAGATATGTAGAGGTGTTAACGTCCTCCAAGGCATCTCCATCAAGAGTGATTTGGTTGGTGCATGTTGTGTTGCATCGGAGAATGTTGCTTTTTTCTTTATGTATGTTGAGACCTACTGCTGCTACACTGGTCGTCTTCTCTTGCATTTGTTGTTGCGTGTGCGATAGAAGAGCCAAGTCATCTGCGAAGTCCAGATCGTCCAGCTGAGTCCTAACTGTCCAGTTTATACCGTGCTTCCCTCCAGACGTCGACGTCTTCATAATCCAGTCGATGAGCAGGAGAAAGAGAAAGGGTGAGAGTAAGCAACCTTGCCTGACACCGGTCTTCACCTCAAAAGAGTCTGTTAGCTGTCCTCCGTGCACGATTTTGCAGTTGAATCCATCATAAGAATTCCGTATGATGTTAACTATTTTCTCAGGCACACCGTAGTGTCGAAGAAGCCTCCACAGTGTTTTCCTGTCCACGCTATCGAATGCTTTCTCGTAGTCGATGAAGTTGATGTAGAGTGGTGAGTTCCATTAAATTGAAACGTATTTTGAGGATTAGCTCCGTTCTTAAAGGGCCTTAGTGGGCACCCTTACCCAAGGAGACGGTAATCCGTGAGGTAGGGGAGGTGTGACAATTTTAGGGTCGACATTTTCTAACCCTTCCTTCCTTGTGAGAAGGCAGCATCGCTGCAGATGCTGGTTGTACGAGGGAAACACCTTACTGCTGTCACACCCCTCTGCGGTCAGCAGTACGACTTCGCCCTCAGACCTGGGGTAGCTGCTTTTAGTCTGATCGTTCTCCAATCGACCAGCCTGGCATGGTAGGACCTGTAGGAACATGTGTTCCAGCCAGTACAGCTCGGTTGGGTCACCACGATAGGCGAGCGCGACCACCACGTCAAGGTAGCAGCTACGGTCGGGAAAAGTGGCTGCCGCCTCCGGGTGGGCACGAACCTTGACTGGATCCCAGTAGATAGTCGCTTGTGTGCTGTCCGACTAAACGCGACAGTAAGGACTTGGAAAGATAGGGATAATCGCCGTTGCCTCTGCATCGTATCTGCCTATGCCCCCACTGACTGCAGTTCAGACGAGGTTAAAGATGAGTTTTACAGAAAGCTTTCGGACCTCCTCCAAAAAGCTAGGCGCTTTGATATAGTAATAATGGATGGTGACTTTAATGCTCAAGTAGGTAGACTAAGTGAAAATGAAAGACACCTAGGTGGATGTTATGGTGTCGCGACTCAGAGAACAGACAATGGTGACCATCTGTTGCAAGAATGCTCAGACAATCGCCTATTCTTAGCAAACACTAACTTTAGGCATAAGGAAAATCATCTGTAGACCTGGCGACCTCCAAAGTCGTCTCAACGTTGGACGCAACTAAATCACATCGCCATCAGCCACCGATGGAGGGGTTCGATAGAAGACTGTCGCTCGTTCTGGGTCACATGTTTAGATTCAGATCATGCTCTAGTGCGAGCACGTATTTGTTTGAGGCTTACTGGAAGTAGGAAAGACACCGCAAGAAAACCTCTCAGGGCCTAACTTATTGATAATCAAGCTAAGAAAATATTTCAGGAGGAACTAGAAAAAACAGTTAGGCGACCATGCAAGTGATTCCCATCCGGAGGCAAGTTGGAATGATATCAAGAAGGCTGTGGAAACAGCAGTGATATCTGCTAGTAAGGTAAACCATAAGGCTAGGATGAAGCCGTGGATTTCAGTCGCATCCACCGAACTGATGGATGCTCAAAAACGCATCCCACCTGACTCTGAACATGATGAAGAGCGTAGTCAGCTTAGGCGCAGACTTATAAAGAGTCTGCGTAACGACCGCGAACAGTGGTGGTTGGCGAAAGCAAAAGCGATGGAAAAAGCAACGGCGATAGGCAACACTAGACAGCTTTCCGCCTTATCATAGAAACCGGTATAAGGAACCCGAATGTGAGTGAGACTATCTCAGAAACGGATGGTCTTATTATCCATTCCCAATCCATGAGATTGGACCGATGGGCAGAACACTTTAGGGACCAGTTCAACTGGCCTCGAGCCGCACTTCGGTTGCCCACGATCTCCAGTCATCCTGAATGGCAAATCGTTTTAAGTCCTCTTAGTCCAAATGAAGTTGAGAAAGCGTTAGTAAATCTGAAGCGAGGGCGAGCTGCAGGTCCTGATAGACCGGCCCCTTAAGATATTTAAGGGTGGTGATCCAGTTTTAGCAGCCAGGTTGACTGAGATTTCAGGTAGAATCTGGGAACTGGACGTAATCCCATCCAACTGGTCTCAATCACTGATTGTCCCAATTTATAAGAAAGAACAAAAGTCCTCTTGTGACAATCACAGGGGAATAAGTCTAACCAATATTGTTTCTAAAATACTGTCCTCAATAATACTTCTACGCTTAACGAAAGCTCGTGAAGAGCAGACTAGAGAAAACCAGGTTGGTTTCAGACCTGGACGTGGTTGTATAAACCACATCTTCGCACTACGACAGGTCCTGGAACATAGACACACATTTAGGCGTCCTACAATAGTTGTTTTCCTGGACCTAAAAGCGGCATTTGACTCTGTGGATCGTGAGGTTCTGTGGCAGTGTCTGTCATTGAAAGGTGTACCAAAGGAGTACATTAACCTTATACAAGCTCTCTACTCGAACACCACCGGTCGAGTTAGAGACTATGGCGAACTGTCATCGGAATTCTTTACTTCAAGTGGTGTTCGTCAGGGATGTCCACTTTCTCCATTTTTTATGATAGACATGCTCCTAGAAATAACGTTATCCACGTCTGGATTTTTAGGAGTAGACCTTTTACCAGGCGGCTCGCTTATTGACTTAGAATATTCCGATGACATAGTCCTACTTGGTGAAGACGCTGACAAAATGCAGAGTCTTCTGACTACCCTAAACAACAATGCAATCCTCCTTGAAATGCAAGATGTTGCTTGAAAATCGGCACCTGAACTAGTGATAGGGAGTGAAGTAGTCGAACGTGTGAACCGCTCCACTTATCTTGGGATAAGTGGATACAGAAGGGATACAGAAGGCTCGATTGGCTTTTGCCAACTTGCGTCACTTATGGCGTAGACGAGATATCCGTTTGCTGACTAAAGGACGAGTGTACTGCGCAGTAGTTTGCTCCGTCCTACTTTATGGCTGTGAAACATGGCCAATGAGATTAGAAGATATTTGTAGGTTACTGGTATTCGATCATTGGTGTCTTCGAAGCATTGCTCGTATATCGTTGGACACCTGAGTAAGCAACGCTGTTATTAGGAATCGGGTGCTAGGTAAGAATGGCAAATCAATAGATGAAGTGGTGAAACTTCATCAGTTGAGTTGTTTGGGACATGTGTTGCGTATCCCCAACCACCGACTCCCTCGTCGAGCTTAGTTTTTTAGTGTTCCTCTTTTCTTCAATTTTCGCAGGAGTATCAACAGAGATCCATTCCTTGTGATGGTACTTCTTGTGACCCAGAACTTCGTGACATCTCGAAGTGATTGCCTTCCTTATCCCTTTCCAATTGTTCTCCAAGGTTGTGTCCTCTCCATTGAGTAGATCCCGAAAGGCCTGGAACCTATTGGTGAGGGCTATCCTGAATTCGTTGAGCTTTACAGTATCCCGAGGAAAGGCCGTATTAAACTATTGTGCTGTTGTCTGCCCCGTTGTCCAGTGCTTCTTTAGTTTCAGTTTGATTTTGGCGATTAGCAAATGGTGATCTGAGGCTATATCATCTCCTCTCTTGGTTCTTAGATCCTCCATGGTCCTTCTGAACGTTTTGTTGATACAGATATGGTCAATTTGGTTTTGAGTAATGTGATCCGGTGAAATCCATGTAGCTTTGTGTATGCGTTTGTGCGGGAATATTGTGCCACCGATGACCAGTTTGTTGAAAGCACATAGGTTTGCAAATCTCTCACCGTTTTCGTTCCTTTCTCCTGGTCCATGTCGTCCCATGATATCATCATATCCAGTGTTGTCCATGCCAACCTTGGCATTCAGGTCTCCGATAAGAATCGTCAAATGCTTTGGTGAACATTTCTCGACGATTGATTGCAGCCTTTCGTAGAATTGATCTTTGACGTCGTCATTGTAGTCATTGGTAGGTGCATAGCATTGGATGACGTTCATTGTAAAGACCTCTTTCTTTGTTTTGAAGGATGCTTTAATGATCCTTGGTCCATGAGATTCCCATCCTATTAGTAGTGCCTTTTGTGCATGTTTGGACAGCATCAGTACAACTCCTTGTGTATGTGAAGCATTTTCCTCTTCATGACCAGAGTATAACAGCAGTTCCCCTGAAGCTAGTCTCAGTTGTCCTACCTGTGTCCAATGCGTTTCACTAATGCCGAGCATCTTGAGGTTGTATCTTTTCGTTTCTGTCGCAACTTGAAATAGTCTTCCAGTCTCCCACAATGTACGAATGTTCTATGTACCTAAAAGTATGGTTGCTCTGGTTGTCAGAAGATGCATCGACCTCGTGTTTTCCGAGGGGACTCAGCTTTCATCACGCGACGTCATAATTCTTCTTCCAACTCCCAGGGCAGAGTTAAAATGGTTTGAATTAGTTTTTCTGGTTAGCGTTTTTTTGACAAGTTAATTTTTGACGAAATGGGGTCGGCAACCCCATGTCCAACCTTCCTCCTTTACCCGGGCTTGGGACCGGCAGTAGCCCCGAAGGTCCTGCTGGCGGAGTTTGATTATTCCATCTTGAGATATTGTTCTATCTGTTCGTTTCACATATGATTTATCTATTGACCTGTCCTAATTAGCTAAACTAAAATTGTTGGTAAAACAGTCATTGCAGTGATTATGTACAATATCTTTACAGGTCTATGCATCCGTGTCTATGATAAAATATTTAATGATTATTATTCATTGTTAGTCACTTTGATTTTTTTCTTTATTATTTTTTATCATTTAATACATTTTTAGGATATTGCAAAACGTGTCTCAATGCCTATCAATGCAAACAATGCATCAGATGAAAACAAGGAATCTGAAAACTCGGAAGCAGTCATTGCGGAAACTGATTCTGCTGAATCTAATTCTCAGGATAATAAGCCTACTACTTCTGATTTAGCAATTCAACCAGGACCTAATATGTCTTTAGCTCCAGCAGATTTGCATGGTATGTGGTATCCAACAGTACGTCGTACTTTGGTATGTCTTTCGAAACTTAGTCGTTGCTTAGATGTAAGTTTATACTTTTTCTCAAACAACTTCTATTATACTGTATATATATATATATATATATATATATATATATATATATATATATATATATATATATATATATATATATATATAAAGTAATCTTTCTCGCTACTTTGTCCAAACGCATTAGAATGTAAGTTTACTTAATAAATTCATCAAAGTAATTGTTATAATTGATAAGTAATTCGAATATAAATGACCTAGGATCAGTTTAAATAGTTGATGCAACAGTCCAGTGTTAAACTTTAGTCAGTCATAAGGAACTTAGAACCTGATGCATTTATACATCGGTTCAAATTACTATGCTCCATTAGCACAGCGAGCAAAATTCCAGAGTCATAAAAGTGTTGAATAGTGTAAGAAGGAGGAAAAGATGTACAAAGAGATTTTGAGTTCTAGGTTTTAAAAGAAGATAAGTGAATACACCTGGGCTTTTGTGATAATCATTTAAGCCCCTATATTAACATCAGCTCACTCTGCAGTTGTCGATTGTGGTGTGTGCTACTTATACGAACGAAAAAAGTAGTATAAGAAGGGACGTGAAAGAAGTCTCACGGTCAGAAGAGGAAAACGGAAAGCAAATGGAGCAAAAGCAAGAAGTAAATGGAGTACGAACAGGAAGGAAATGAAGCAATCACAGGAATGGAAGAAGGATGGAGAGTTGGAAGTTACGACTGAAAGATGGTGTGCAAATAGAGTGTTCAATGTAGTGTTTTCGTTTTTAATTGACTAAGAGTGTAAATTTGCATGATATAATCTTCCGCGCCTGCCTCAGTCTTCTCATCGATGACTTCATGAACTGGTTCAACAGAACTAAACTTAACTATTCAATGCTTCAATTAATTTTCTAAATCATGATTTTTATACGTTTGGCAGCCTAGTATTATTTCTGACAAAGAAAACTCATGATAGTATTTATATATTCATCTATTATTCTTGCATACGCATTCTGTTCTATCATTTAGTGATCAACAATTCTGTTTATTGAATTTTAAAGTTAGTTGAAATGGTTGTGAGTAATCAAATATGAGAATTCAAAATTCAATGTATCAGTAAATCTTAATAAACAATTTTCTTTAGTAATGATATGTAAGCTTGTTGTACACGTGCAAAACTATGACTTTTTAGACTGATCAGTTATCTACTTTTGTCTATCATCTAGTTATCCTTCATTTTTTTCAACGTGTATCCATTTGTTCCAATGCAGTTTTCGTCAATGTTTTATTCTTATTCGATGTATCCTTTAAACACGAGACAAAGTTCTTTTCTTTCGGTTTATTATCGACATCCTGTTTAACGAGTTGTATTATTTTCGAGGTTTGTAACGTTCGCTTAGAATAAGATGGATGATATAATCTTATTAACTAAATGTAGATTTTTGCGTATTAGGATTTAGGTTACATAACTTTTGATATTACAAGGCAAGCGAAGCAATCTTTAAACCCGAGACTTGCCTCTTGAAAGTCGAATAATTTAATCACTAAGGCATTGTTCCAATGTTTTGCTTTCGTGCTGTGGTAATAAATCATACCTGCAAGCATTTAGTTTTATTCATTGATTCGTACACGCATTCAATTTTAGGCTGATTCTTTTCGTGGTTTAGCCCAAGAATGTGTATCTACATGTGTGCAGTCATTAGTGAAAGCAAGTGATTTAATTAGTCTCCGTCGGACAACAATCGATGGTCAATTATTTCTCATCAAACATTTATTGATACTTCGTGAACAAATGGTACCATTCGGTATTGAATTTCTAATTAAAGAAACTAGCCTAGATTTTTCTCCATATAAAAGTAAGTGATCCTGTGTGATGATTGTATTCTGTTCATTATGTTACTAAATCGTATTTTACTCTATTATGATTTTCGTGTCCCACTGTTGAAATGATGAACCAATTGTTTGAAGTATATCCGTCTAACGTATCTTACATTTGTCGGTGTGTTTTGATTGCTCTTACTTACTTATGATCGGATGGCATTGAGAATGTCATATCTTAAACAGATACTGCTATTCTACCCTCATTAATGTAAATTATCCGGTTATTCATTTGCAGAAGAATGCACCTAAAATAAAGGTTGTGTCAATTGGTACTTTTAGAAAAAAAATATATCTCAAGAATTGAAATGTATAGTGAAATGCAAAGTAGATAAGAATGAGTTTTACATTTTTCAAAAAAATATTTACCTCGTAGTAAAGAACTAATTTTACATGAACATCTTTGAATTTATGGTAGATTAACTCGATTGACATTTGTTATCATATGCAATTTATGGTCTCACTGAGATATGTGAGAAATGTGTAATGATTACTTTGGTACTAAAGTGGAGTTCTTCCTTTGATATACCAAGGTCATTCATTATATTCCGTCGTACAATGATGAAAGACAATTAACTGATTATAGTCAGTGAATGTTACTTGAAGCCACATAGGAAACTGTAGTTCGGTTAGTGGATGATATAACTCGGTATTAGTTTCAATGTTGTCAGTCCATCCTGACACCTGTAATTAATATATGGTGTCAGGATAGACTGTACATTGCATTAAATGCTGTATAATTATTTTTCCTCCGATAACAAACGCAAACATCTTGCATCGATTAATCACTGAGTAATGGTTCAAATTCTATCGATGAAGTCACTAATCTATTTGTTTCTACATCTCATTCATTATGCTTTGATGCTAGATAGTTGAGGGTAATCGATAGGAAACCCTAAAACTAAGTTTTGCATTCGTTGACACTTGTCAGCAAAATAATTTTGCAGTATGGAGCAAACTAATGTTTCTTGAATGAATTGAACTCCAACATCTTATTCATGAAATAATCGATTGAGTAGTGCAATATAGTTAATTTCATTCAATTTTTGTTTTATTATTGTTTATTGTTTTATAGATGTAGCACGTAGTATTTGGGAACAAAAAGGAACTGGTTTATTTTCATTAACTAGAGAAAACGCATTATTACGATTCTTATTAGAAACACCAAATGCTGTTGATATTGAATTAGATTCTAGGCGTCAATTAGATAGTCAATTAAAATATACATGTGAATTACTTATTGAACAACAAGTTTTACAATTAACCGGTGAATTGTCAAATTTTCTTAAACGGGTAGGTAATGTTTGGTTATTATTATTATTGTAATCTTACGGTTGTTTTTTTTTCGATTTCGGTAGAAAAAAAACTTCATATGCACACTAGTGCTTTCATACAACTTGATCCCTTGATAATTTCAAACAAGGTAGTAACAAAAAGATTTACAAAATAAGATGAATACATTCCATTCCACCGCTTTTTATCCATCAGACATAAGCGGTAGAAAGTTACACAATTAAAGTAATAATTAAGAAACGAATTTGGTGAACATCGGTGTTTAAAATTGGTCTGAAAATCATAACAAGTATAAAGCAATGTAAGAAACAGTATTAAACAATGATAACATTCAATTTGAAATAGTTTGGGTTATCTGGTTGCCAATATTTCTGAATGACTGGCATATTTGCATCTTGTACGGACTGCTTCAATCTAACGCTAATTATGACTCATTTAGATATATAATAGATAGATTATTGCTAATGTAATGAAAAAAGACAATAAGACCAGTTGGAATAAGTGCTTTATCTGAAGGAGACACACTTTTCTAGCCTTAACATCAAACATCCATATACACAACTCGAGTGTATCCCTGTCCGTCTTCTTCAAAACATTCTGATCGTGCCTTACATGCTGCGTATCCACTGCCTCGTTGTGAGTCATAGACACTACTCTAGGAGTTTACTCCAGGACACCTATTCTGGGATTCAAGTACACCCATCTGACAAATCCTAAGTACTTTAATTCCTTTCAGACAGGTTTCGAAGGACATATTCAGTAAATCAAGAACAAGCCTCTTAGTTCTTGTTCACTTGCTACCACATGTACATATAAATTCGAAAATACATCGGAAAGTGACGTCATTATGTTTACCCTTGAATGGTTTAACAAGTACTTGGTTTTGTATGACGAATTTAATTGAACTGTAGGAAATTCTGTTTTAAGGCTGCTCTGATTATTTCATCAGTTTTAGATGAAGTCTCACCCTATGCCCAGCAATTGTCCGTTATCCATGCTTGGGACCGGTAGTAACCCTAGAACGGTCCCAGGAAGAGTTTCACCCAATTATGTTGTAGTTATTTAAATTATCTTTGAATCAGGTTGTGAAATGCTAGAAAATCTGTCTCGTGACTTGGAGAACAATTCGTTAATAAACTCCGATTTTATTTCTTTTGAAAACAAAACTTTTCTAGGCTCATTCTATTCTCGCTGCTCCAGGTGCACGTCTTTCTGACCAACCCTTTGCAAATCCATCATACATAAAAGAAATGGTTTCAAATGCGCATCGATTACTCTGTATGGCACTTGGTCGTAATTCCAGTTCAAATCGTTCTGATACGATAAAACACCATACTATACCGAATTTACGAAAATGTTTACATATTTATCTAGCTAATCCAGTGACAGAAAATATTTTATTACGTCGTATTCAATCAGGTGTTATATCACAGTGGAGATCTATGTATCAATTGTTAATTGATAATTATAATGATGAAGATCGTATGATAATTGGTTGTCCGACAGAAAGTCAAGTAAATGATTTTTCATTTAAATTTTGAATTATTGATTGAATGCTAATTTTTATTATGTTTATGTGATTTAGGCTTTTTCAATATATCACATGTATATTCTGTTCTTTATAGCATTTCCTCAACAGTCTGATTTAAATTCTATAATAAACTGAAAGTTCACAATCACAGTAATTTGTCTAATACATTGCGAATATAGATAAAACTTACTGGAAACTGATTTGAATGCCGAAAATGAAATTCCAATCTTGTAATTCGAAGTTGAATATTCTAAAAATTAAGCTTCTATTTCATTGCGTTTCATTTCGATAAACTTCACTTGTCATAAACAAAGTCGTACTGCTGACTGCAGAGTGGTGTGACGGCAGTAGGACGTCTCCCTCGGACAAGCGTCATCTGCAGCGATACTGTCTCACAAGGAAGGAGAGGGTTAGAAAAGGTTGACCTTAAAAATGCCACACCTCACCTTATTGCGCAGTTAGATTGGCTAAGATCTTAAGTAGTATCTGGGAAGTAGAGGTAATCACATCCAGCTAGTCACAATCACTGATTGTTCCAGTCTATGAGAACGGACAAAAGTCCTCTTGTGACAACCACAGAGGAATCAGTCTAACTAATATAGTGTAGGATTAGGTTGTAAACAAGCTAGGGATGGCCAGACCAAAACATGGCGCAAATCCATGAAGTCACAGACAAGTGGGCTGAGCCATGTTGGTAGATATGGACTACTAGGTTCCGAGATGATATTAACCGATGGTTGGAGTACCTTGAACAACATGGCTATAAATTATTTGAAATGGTGTAGGTGCGCCATCACTTTTATATTTCTCTTTTCAATTTATTTCACTGGATTATACTTTTTGAATAATATTATCGAACCCTAATCTTTTTGATTACTGCTATTACTTCTGCTACCTCTACTATTATTGGATTTGACATGACTATTGCATTTCTGTGCTTGTATGTTGGAAATACTTGAACTTATGTACGTATGAACGAAGTTCCACGTTGTTGCTGACTTACCGACTGAATTGTCATCTCCAATATTACAGGTTGTAAGCAGCTGACAAGAACCGAACAAAATATGAATAAATTCATCCTATGTTGTTCAAATCTTCGTTCTCGCTCTCTTTAAGGCTTATTTGTACACACTTGTGTACCTTCTTCTCGCCCTGTATATCTTTCACTACACAAAGCATAATTACACATTTATAGTAACTATAACTACTTATATGTCTTAATGAATAAAGACTAATCACCGAATTTAATAAGTTATATTACCATCCTTTTAAACGAATATAACTATCTTATTTATGATGTATTGATAATTCATTAACTCTTTTATTTTTCCATAGATTCGACTTATATTTCAAGATATTTGAAATCGTTCAATTCTACGAGCATGAATTAATAAGGTTTCTACATGTGTTGTGTACTGAATTTTTATTTTTTAATTTCATTGGAACTTGAACATTTTTTCTTGTATGAAAGTAACAAATAAATATATTTTATTATCAACCAGTAATTTTTTTTTTATTAACAAAAAGTTTATTAAAAACACATTTAAGAAAAATTGGGTACAATAATGCTTTTAAGGCTATAAAAATGTGAATAAAACAATGAACAGTATGAATAAATGTTACTTGTTTGTTTATTTTATTTATTGTCTTCCTCCTTCATCTCATTTGCTCATTGTACTTAAACAAACATACATCACAACAAAACTGCTACTAACCAAAGAAAGAAACAATGGTTTTTCACATAGACTGAATTAGGTAGGCCCTACTGTCATACATTGTCATTGATAATGATTACCGTCTGTTTGTAGGTAGGATAGAGCAAAAAAACACAGTACGTGCCAATGTTTTTATGATAACTAGGTATCATCATATGCATAGGTTACGTTTTAATTTGTTACTAGGACACAGTCTGTGTGTGTACAATGTTGTGAATATTGTTGAAATGAAGAAAACAACAATGTTGGCAAATATTTCGAAACAAATGGATTAGTTGATTTCATTTGATGATTAGTAAATAAATAAAAAATAAAATTTATTTATTTTGAAAATTTTCTAATCATCAAATGAAATCAACTAATCCATTTGTTTCGAAATATTTGCCAACATTGTTGTTTTCTTCATTTCAACAATATTCACAACATTGTACACACACAGACTGTGTCCTAGTAACAAATTAAAACGTAACCTATGCATATGATGATACCTAGTTATCATAAAAACATTGGCACGTACTGTGTTTTTTTGCTCTATCCTACCTACAAACAGACGGTAATCATTATCAATGACAATGTATGACAGTAGGGCCTACCTAATTCAGTCTATGTGAAAAACCATTGTTTCTTTCTTTGGTTAGTAGCAGTTTTGTTGTGATGTATGTTTGTTTAAGTACAATGAGCAAATGAGATGAAGGAGGAAGACAATAAATAAAATAAACAAACAAGTAACATTTATTCATACTGTTCATTGTTTTTTTTTTCGAAATTAATTTTTGCAATATTAATACAAATATCAATTGGTTTGTTTTGTTCACATTTTTATTTCATTTGTATTCTACTGTGAATATGCTTGTTGAACAACATTGAGAAACATTAAATGAAAGAATAAATTTTCATGCATACAGTAATAATAATAAAATGTTATTCAACTGGATAATATATATTGTCAGTGTAATATAACATTGATAAAATAACGAATTTATTAAATCGAAAAAACAAAATAACCATTGAAATAATTATTCATTAATTAAGATAATGTTACTTTGTCATCCATATTATAATAAAACAACATGAACAGTAGAAATTGTTTTAAAGAAATTTTCATTTCATTTTCAATGAATCTGTTATTTTTCAAAAAAAAAAAAAAGAAATAAGAAATGATATTTACATTGTCTATATTGGTAGCTTGACATGTGTTGTTCAGATCAAAGTAATTTCTTTAAAATTATTTATAACACACTATGTTTAGAGTACAATTTAAAGCATCGAAATGATTATTGTTTTAATGGTTGGACATTAATGTATCGTAGATTTGCATTCTGCTTCACTGAAACTACTGTACTAACTGTTTAATCATATATAAGTACTTATAAAATATTCAAGTTACCTGTCTTTTTTCATAGATTTATTCATCAATCACAATTAATAAGTTCCTATTTCTAGTTACTGAGTTATTGCGATGTATACCATTGGTTTTTGATGTGCCAAGTAGATATCTCATTCTATTATTGTACAAGTCACGTGTTTTCTTGATATTTGTGAAGATATCAGTGATGTCGCTTTTTTCATTAAAATAAAACTTGTTATTAACTATTAATGACTATTCTTCCCACTTTTTTCTTACTAAACTTCACTTCATATTTATGTTAGCAAATATTTCTGTGAACAATACTCTGTATTTGTTGAATCTTTCTGTTATCTAACCGGTACGTATGAACTTTTGCAAAAAATACGTCAGAAAACGGAGTTTGCTACGAACGTAGAATTTCAAATTACTAAATAGTTAGTATAAAACTTGACTCGATCAATTAATGAAATTGTAATACAAGCCTGAGTTCCATCAATAATTTTTCTATCACAGAAACGGTGTCGGTTGCCTGTTGAAAACGGCTTACCAATTTACAAAATCATAACACGTGTCTTCTAACTGCTACTCTTGTAAGCACCTGTGATGATTAACTAATTTATGGTTGGAAGAATTCTCTATGGAATTCAGATCTAACTAATGAATTATTTACATGATATTTCTCTAAGTTGTGGAAACCTGGTATGACTTAGTCAAAAACTAACATGTAAGAAAATGCAGTAACCAATGTACCACACATTAGGGAAAACTCAAGACGAAATAAAACACACAGGGTTAAAAAACAAAATCTGTCACTTGTTATCAAGTTAAAGATGAGGTATTTTTTCATGAAAGAATGGCGACGGTTTGTTTGAGTTAAGTTGAATAGCTTCAAGATCCTCGAAAGTGTTATGATTCGTTACCACATTTTCCTCTTGTGTCACTTGTACATCATCCATCATAGTGGAACTATGTATGAATGAAAAGGATAAAAGATTTCATAAACTCGAATCAACTGATAAAACAAATTTCCTCTAAAATTATTAACAGAGACAGTATTATTTGATAAATCTGATGGTGTTTGAAATCAGTGAAACTGATTTGATAGAATCTGGATGGAAAATGCTAATGTCAGCAGACATTTTACATTTTAGTCATGAAGTCTATGCCCCACACACACAATGAATTGCATTGGTGCTGTCCAAAGAATCATAGAAAGCAATATTTGGAATGTGAAACAGGCGGTTATATGATCATCAAAGTACCCTTCGAAACAAAGAAGGGAAGTATTACAATTAATTTTACTCATGTCCTATTCACCCACCATTTATGATATTGAAGAATATAAGGACTATTTGCGCGAGTCTTCCTACTGTTGTTTTTTACTTTCCTTCTAGTTGTTGAATGAATTATAAAGACCACCATATCTTAGGGGAAGCATGGAATACAAAAGAGATCCTGGATATAGTTCTAAATCAAACAGTAAGATTACTAGCTGCTTTTTATACTCCGGTAAATGTAGCAAAAATGCACATTAGAGTAACAATAGAAATCCTTAAGAGATTAATAAAGATATAGCGTTAATGAATGACTTTCTATCACAATTGTCTTTAGGGTTTTTTTAATTATATTATAACCAATGGTCAATTTCATATTCTTCATAAAGTAGGTTAATGCATGAAGACGATGTAGCTGGATAACAAAACTAAATAGGAGCCTACTTTTAAATATTTGATCTTAAAAACACGACAAATACGATTGGTTGATAAGCATATCTCATATTCTCTTCTATCACTCTTTTAGAATTTATTAATTCGCTATATAAAATTATGGTCCGAACAAGTATATCAAGTCGTGGTTTAAGCGTTCACCACTTGATCTGGTCCGATGTATCTATAGACTATCTCTGTTGCATATGACCTATCAACTGAAGGAAATTATCTTATTATATTAATGTGACTCATAATTTTACTCATTTCTATAGGGCAAATTAAATCCTACAGTATTCGACTGTTCAGAATGATAAGTTATCATAAGTAGTGTAAATTGTCAGGGATATTTACACCAACACTTTATCCTAATCATATATATATATATATATATATATATATATATATATATATATATATACATATGGAAAATATATGACTAAATAGAAGCATTTTTTAAAAATGTGCAAAATTTTCAATAATTCAGCTTACTTTTCATGCTTATGAAGTATATCTTTGAAATGTTCACATAGATTCCACAAATCCTGTTCAAATGATTTGTAATTTATTAAATGCAAAAAATTATTATTGAATAAATTCACTCTCCCTGATGGCTCATAATACGATAATGATGATGTTGTTATTGTTGTTGATGAAGGTGCGCTTAATGAAAGACTTGTTAAACATGATGTTGTATAATTGAATCTTATTTGTTCTTCACTGTTTTCTTTATTACCTTCTTTTTTAATCAATATTTTGTCTCTGAATAAATTTTTTTACAATAAAATAAATAAAAAACAAATTTTCATTCATTTATGTGTAGAAATTATAATCATAATAAGACAATAATGATGTGTGGAAGACTAACGACCTTGGAAGTATTTTTTTTCTACTTTAATGTTCTAATTTTTATTATTGATTCACATTAATTTATCAACGACGAAAACCATAGTATACCAAAAAGGACCTGATATATATGAGATTTATCACAATCTAGTGATCTATCAATTGCAACTTGTAACTTTTATCTAGATTTTATATAATTCAAAGTATGAGGTTAATTTTCTGTATACTAGATGAAATGGATTTCTAGTTTATAGTAGCTTCATGATGAAAATTTTGAAATTTTCAGTAAAATATGTTAATTCATCAGACGTTTTAAGTTATATGATGAAATTGTATTCACTTTTCAATGACTGTTAAATTTCCAGCATTCTACAATAATGAAACGTACTTATCCAAAAAAGATGGAATTTCTGGTTTATAAATATCCTCCAGCCATGGCCTTTGAATTTGAATTTGGTAATTCGATGAGTTTAAGCAACTAGGACTATCAATTTCATAGATGGTGTTTCTTGCTAAATAAAAACAAAAGATGAACAAACGTTTGTAACTCGAACAGCAAAGTAGTGTATGACATTACAAAGTGTAACTTGTTAAGTTATGATTTTCGTTGCTAATTCACGCAAATGAAATTTCACATACATTCACGTAAATTAAAACAGCTTAACAATGGCAATATCCTTGACAAATATAATCATAAGTTATAACTATCAAACCTGATACGAACCCCTTAGGATACAACTTTGTCTGACACAATAAGCCGCCTTAACTTCTGACGTTCATTTAACTGATGGCCGTAATAAGAAGCCAAATACGGACTCAGTCGGATGAGTTTATTTCATGCAGTCGTTTACGCAGAAGACATTTAAATACAAAGAGTAAAAGTGAAACGAAGAGAAGTGAAGATGGTATGTGAACCAACTCAATGCAATGAGGGTTGATGAAGTTTTTGCAGTCAGACAAAGATAAGCTTAACACGTAACAAGCAATGCACAGGCTCATTCAAGTAAAAACAATCTAGCAAATAATCGACAAGGGTGAATAACTCTAGAATATATTGATTAATTTGTCCAAGGCTGGGACAAGCTATGTGGTCTTGACATATTAGTAAACACCCTACAAAGTGCTTCAAACATAATAGTGATATCCAAAATTCTTTCATTAGTGTTCCAAACTATTACTGTTAAGCCATGACGCTGACCATACTCTAGAAACAAGTCTGACTAAGCACTAACTGTCAATTTTAATCAAAATTTATAATACTGTTTCGTAGTCATCAGATGTTCCATGACGTAATCAGATTTAACAATGAGCTATTGAAAACAGTCAGGAAGTTCTTGTATCCGAATTGTTGTAAGTCTTCAACTATCGCCAAATATCACTTTTGTGAAATATCTGGAAGGAAGGTTGTTCAGATCCAAGAAAACAAACAGGTCATTATGAATCTGGAAACCGTATTAAAGAGAGAATTTTTACTTTTACTGCAAATGACCGGATACTTTAATAATCAGTATCATGGTAAAATTTATTTAGCTAAGTGAATGTAACAGAGTAAAGTACAATGTAATTTTAAGTGTTTACAGTTCATTTAATAGTTATCTTTTCATTCTTTATCCATTATTCATAGGGAAATAGAGTCTTTATTAAAATTTCACAGATAAATGCCTATTATTACAATGCTTCATTTGTGTGAATATCGTTACTACATAAAAAAAAACTAGATGTAGGTGTAAAATAGAATTTCAAATAATAATAACTATAAAGACTCACTAAATTGTGAAAGTAAATCTTGTATTAATTCCCACATAATATAAAGTGAACGAATATTTTTCTCGTTCGTTCTAATAACAACAGACTAAAATTATGAATAATAAACATTGAATATATTCACCATCACATGAAAAAGTTAGGATAGTTAAAGACATAATCATCTTAATTAGACATTATATTCTATATTTTTTAGGCTTTTGTTAATTTAAAAAACTCAATCAGATCAATATTAAGAATATAAAATGAGAAATTAATTTTGTTTCCCCTACTTTATACCAAATGGACAATTAAAAAGGAGGAAACATTAAAAGTTTGTTTTCATCAGTGCAAAACTACTATTTTCAAGTTCTACAGGAAAATTAACTCTAAGGACTCTGTGTCAACCAAAGAACATAACGTATTTGAGACACTAAAATAGAATACAATGTTTTACATGTTCCTTTCTAGTTGGTTTATAATATAACACCATTCTAATTTTATATCATTTACAAAACGTCGAAGCTTATAAGTAAATTTTTATACAGCCAAATTATAACATGAAAACTATGAGAGATTTTCGGCTGATTACGAGTTTCTGTATCAAAATATCATCATGTCAGTAGTGGAACTCAAAACAACTGTCAAATAGCACCAAAATCAGAATTTTCAATACCAATGTCAAGAAAATTCTACTGTATGGAGTGGAAACTTGGAGAACTACAAAAGCCATCATCTAGAAGATTCAAGTATTCATTAACAATTGCCTATGCATAAGTACTTCAGATCCGTTGACTATACACCTGCATCAACAATCTACTGTGGGGGAGAACAAACCGAGTTCCAGCGGAGGAAAAAATCAGGAAGAAGCGGTGGGAATGGATAGGACACACATTGCGGAAAGCACCCGACTGCATGACGAGACAAGCCCTGACTTGGAACCTTCAGGGTCAAAGGAAAGGAGGAAGTCCAAGAAACACATGACACCGAGAAATAGAGAAACATATGAGAATAATGAACAAAAATTGAACAGAATTGGGAAGGGAAGCATAGGACAGGGTATGTTGGAGAACACTCATCGACGGCCTATGCTCCATCGGGGGTGATCTCCCTTTTCTAATTCTAAACCAACCTGTTCTTTTGTTCTTAAAATATGGTAGATTTTCTCCAACATCCAAACCAGGTACTGATTTGCTAGGAAGTGATTTGGTTGCATATATATATATATATATATATATATATATATATATATATATAACTCAGTATTCGAGTCCAGGTTTATTTGCTTATTGTCATTGTTTGTGTGAAATTTGAACTAATCGTACATTAATGACAAGATAACTATAGTTAATAACTGGATATTTTTAGTGATATAGAATAAAACTGTTCTAGTTGCTTTATCCATACTACTTATTGATGAGTGACGATGATCCATTCATTCAGCTACAACGTAGAACTTTATACGTTCGTACATCAGTTCAAGTTTCCACACTACATTAACAGAGATGTGAACGTCAACTCAAATCTCATAGTTATAGATGTAGTAGAAGTATTAACAGTAATGAAGATAAAGATGATAAGAAACTCATCAGAGGAGGATTTGAGAGGACGCAAATAGTGGATGCACTTGCGCCATTGCAAACGATTTTTAGCCATGTTGTACAACGTCTCTAACCATCGGGTACTATCATCTCACGGACACTGACCAGGTAGTTGACACCTACCAACATGACTCAGTTCACTTGTCAGTGACTTCACGGATTTGTGCCTTGTTTTGATCTGGCCATCCACAGCTTTCTTCCAGCCTACTCCTACACCACAAAACATAGCTCGTCGTCGCTGGTCGCGCATTCGGAACACATGTTCTAACCACCTTAACTGATGAAGTTTCAATACTTCATCAATTAGTCTTCCATCCGTACCGAGTACTCGTTTCTTAACGACAGCATTACTTACTCAGCTGTCCCAGGATATACGAGAAATGCTTCGGGGACACCTATGATCGAAGACAAGCACTTTACGAATGTCCTCTACTCTTACCGGCCATGTTTCGCATCCGTATAGTAGGACGGAGTGAACTGCTGCGTAGTACGCTCATCCTTTAGTCAATAAACGGATATCTCGCCTACGCCATAAGTGACGCAGGTTGGCAAAAGCTAATCGAGCCCTTTGTATCCGTCTTGAGATTTCGTCTCACACTAGACCATCAACTCTGATGAAACTCCCCAGGTAGGTGAAGCGGTCGACATACTCAACTAATTCACTCCCTATCACTAGTTCAGGTGTTGATGCAAGCCAATCCTGAAGCAATATTTTGCAGTTTCAAAGGGAGAATCACTTCCCGAACATGCTTGCGCGGTTGCTTAGGGTGGTCGGTAGACTGTGCATTCTGTGAACGTCTTTAACAAATTGAACTATGACAGGGGTTGAGAAGATAATCTCCTAGTATAAGTTCAGTTCTTGAAAAATCAGACCAGGGAAGTGTTATTTCTAAAAGCATGTCTATGACAAACAGAACAGTCTTGACAAACATCACTTGAAGTAATCATTTCCAATGACATTTCGCCATAAGCTCTGACTCGGTCAATAGATTTTGAGTACCTTTCATTGACAGACACTGCTATAGAACCTCACGATCAACAAAGTCAAATACCGCTTTAAGGTTAAGGAATACAACTATTTTCGGATGCCAAATTGTGTGTCTATGTTCCAGGATCTGTAGAAGTGTGAAGATCTTGTCTATACATCCACGTTCAGGTTTGAAACCAGCCTGGTTTTCTCGAGTCTGCTGCTCATGATCCCTAGTTTGGAGTCACAGTATGATTGGAGCTTATATTTTAGAAACTATATTAGTGAGACTGATTCATTTGTGACTGTCGCAAGAGGAATTTCGTCCTTTCTTATAAGCTGGGACAATCATTGATTGACAGTTTTACATGAATATATATCTTGAACAGGTTCGTAGTTTAGTTAAAAATTTATCTTCAGCATACATAATAAACACAGTTATAAATTTGTGCTATATTCATTTTAGTAAAAGTACTAAAAATATAAAAATAATAGCAATTTATAGAAAGTGTTCAATTTGAAAATATGTAATCACAGTTTACCTTCAGTAAATCTTTTGGTTTATTCCGAATGATTATATTCACTTCATAATACTGACATAAATTAGAAAAATTGAAACTTCCAAGCCATTCACCTTGTAGTATACTCACATCGAATATTAATACAACAGGTAATAAATTCTATCAGTAATAGAGTATAATATTCATGCATTTAAATGTGTATATATCATAATTTATATTTTAAAAAATGAAGGCCAGAACTAGTTGATTGTTGATTTACAGTTCAAAATAGTCAAACATTAGTTTTATTGAAATTATGAACCGACCAATGTTATATCACCACTGAAAACTTGGAAGCACTTCATGGCAATTTCGTCCTAGTATGGTACTTCTCACTAGTAAGTAAGTATCAATAATTGAACATGTGTGAATCGAACCCAAGACTTTTAGTCTCTTTATCGAAAGCTTAAATTCTATACCACTAAGACAGCACATAACGTTGTCAATGTCTAACTTTAATCACTTCACGATTTATCTCACCAATGATATCTTTCTTCTGGTGGATAAGTATCTAAGAACTCATATAAGCGAACAATATTGTTTTAAATTAGATCGTCATCAGACTTTAATATCCATGAACATTTATATGAAAATGTTAGACCAATCAAGGCAGTTTGAGTCACTTATCACAATGAAATGTAATAGAATACTTCAATACATATAATAGGCAAAATTACAAGTTGATAGTAGGAAAACAGGTTTAATGATAGTAGTAACATTAACATATAGATATTCATATATATTAGAGTAAAGTCTGATGACGATCTAATCGAAAACAATATTGTTCGCTCATGTGTTGTTCCAACTACCTAACACCCAAGATAGATTGAACTTCACTGGTCAACATCAAACAGAGGTTTCTCATATTTATTGATAATAGTTTACAGAATCCATGTCTTAACAAGAAAAAGTATTAGCAATTTGACTGCATCATTTCTGCTCAATAGAATATGCAAAATAGGGACACATGCATTCAAATTCCACTGGAACAAGATCTCTAATAGTCACAGAAATTTGGATATTGAATCTAACTTGATTGGTTAGCAAATAAGATAACTTGGTAATATAAATAAACTGTGTGAATTACTTATTCCTGTCTTTTCACAAGTCATTTTGACTCTTATCTATGTAAACTATTATTTAGTTGTTTTGCACAATAAAATTAAATCCATAGTTATTGTACTTAACTATTAATCCAATTACCGATACAAACAGCCTCAAAACTTTGTAGTGGTCTACTTTTATGAAGAGAACGCCGTCGGTGGAATGGAAACATTTATTATTATAACCAATCATATCAGTGATTGTTTTACTGTACTTTTTTGTTTAATTGTACCAAAAACACACATTTTCCATTTGCCTGTGACCTTGCGCTTACTCAAGTACGCACGGTAGTCTCGCCTGTAAAACTTGACACGATCTCAGCATTATTTTGATACAACGAGATCGCCAACAAATAAACATTAACTCCCCGATCCTGTTTTCTTCCTTGTCTCAATCCTACGGAAGGACTTAACCTGATAATTGGCACTTAATCGATCTGTGATAGTGATCATAGTCAATCTCGACTGGACACACCACAACTTAAAGTATATTTCTAAAGACTTAACGTAAAAATGTGCGTTTACATTTTCTCTAACTCGGTGACATTATTTTCATTCCTGATTGAAATTTTGATATTGTTTTTATCCTTAAGATAACATCTTAGTCAGTAAGACATTTCTTATATATTTTCTAGTGTAACATTATTTTATAACTGTATGATGTACAAATTAGGTAAGGATTTCATTTAGTATGACATGATTAAGCTTCCAATCTGTTTGAAAATAATATTCTTTGTATTATTCTGTGAGAACTTCATATGAGTCTTACAGTGACCGTGTGTATCATTTCATTAATATGTTGTTTATTAACTAATTATCAAGTGTGTGTGTAAAATCAATTTATAAATGAGTGTACTTGGCTTAACGGCAATGTTTTGGTACGGCATGTTTTGAAGAGCTAGCAAATCTTCATGTTTTCATTAATCATCAAGTCTAGGCAGTAAGATCGCAGACATAACGGAGATAATATTGATACAATAATTTCAAAATCGCTTTTTTAGAGAGCTTATATTTTTGGGGAAAACTGATTTCTTGATAATTCTCTATGCTGTTATTTGGTAACTAAAATCCTTAAGATTCAGCTAAGAATAATACACTACTGAAAAACTATTTCATTCTACTTCGTAATTCGTTAGAGTCTTGAATCACAACTCAGTGTAATACTGATAATAACAACAATACCCTCTGAAAACTAAATTGAAATCCAGTTATCCATATTTCTGACCACTGTTAATATGTAATACAAAAATACTAGATAAAAACAACTTATCAAAACTACATCTATATCAACTGATTTATCTAGCTGGTCTTAGCTCTTGTTGCGAATTAAATTTCGAATTTAATTTACTCCTTAAAAAATCACAGTAAATAATCTTGTGAAAAATATTACCAAAGTATTTTTTTATTACTACTTACCATTATCAACTGTCTTGCTAAAAACACATTATCTACATCACCATATATGTGAATAAGATTTAATTTATTCTGAAAAGACTGACTTAAGTAATGGTTGTTTGAATCTTGAGTTTGATTTGAAGAGCTTGAAAAGTAATTCATACAATTTACTTGGTTATCAGTTGAAAATGTTGGTAATAATGATGACGGTGAAGGGGTGGAATTCGTGATGGAGGAAGTAGAAGGAGAGAAATTAACATTTGCACCAGTTGTTTCATGAACTAATTTTATTAAATTATCTGATGAAATTTTATTGTGTAACAGAGAAGAATGTTTTGCATCCATGTTAATATACGTGTTAACTGGAATAATATCCTTTTAAGAAATGTATACAAAGGATGATAGTGAAAACAAAAGATAATTATGTCCAATTAATGGTAGAATATCATGAATGAAGTGATAATAAAAATTATTCTTTAAAACTATCGATAAAAATGAATAATGGCCAGCAGTGAAATCATGGATGTGTGTTTCGTCTCATTTAGGACACTTAAGATGGATTAACCTGCAACCTAGAGTTGATATCCCTTCAGAGACACGAACCGAAAACCTTTCGTCTCAAAAGTCTATTCGCTATCAACTTAGTTATTGAGCTCAGAGAGCCACTGGTTTATGCAAAATGCTTGAATTTCAAATAATGTATTGTTTGTTTAGATCTTTCTTTTGACGTTTGGGACTGAAATAGATCAACCTCTTCTGGCATCCTAAGAAGACTGCAGAGATGGATGGTGGCTAGCAACCGAATCCATGAGGCGCATTTCGTTTCATTTGTGGGAAATTTCAGGTGAATGTACCTGCATCCCAGAGTCGATGATCACTAATCGGATAATTTATTTAATAAGCACTATTCAACAAATAAAATATCTTGTTGCATCACCGTTTTTTTTACTACTGATCTAAACAGAACAATTTCAAATTCACTTATGATTTTACACTCTTCTACTTTCCCATTGTACTTGAAACTCTTTTACAGTACGGAAATTTATCATTCCTACGGAATAAAGTTCAAAATAAAAATAATAGTTTACAATCAAGAACAATACTTACAGTATTTCGAACAAAGTATTGCTTAATTAATGATCGTACAACATTTTTTGTTTTTTTTACATTGATTGTTAATCCTTTAACACTAACAGTTGTTTTACGATAATATGTTAACGTGTAATGATTACGAAATGTGATTTCCACATCAAAGTCATTTTGAAGTTGTCGAATGGTTTGTGAATTCTGATTTGAAATTAAACTTTCATTATTTAAATAAGGTATTTCAAATGTAAATGTAACCGGAAGAATATCCTGAAGAAAAAAATGTTTAAAAATTATGGTACTATTCATTATTTTCTAACTTAAAATAAAATATTCAGCACTACCTTTTATATTGATTTAACAAACGCGACAAAAGTCCCAACCGTAGCTGCTACCTTGACGTGGTGGTCGCGCTCGCCTATCGTGATGACCCAACCGAGCTGTACTGGCTGGAACATATGTTCCTGCAGGTCCTACCATGCCAGGCTGGCCGATTGGAGAACGATGAGACTAAAAGCAGCTACTCAAGATCGGAGGGCGAAGTCGTTCTGCTGACTGCAGAGGGGTGTGACAGCAGTAGGGTGTTTCCCTCGTACAACCAGCATCTGCAGCGATGCTGCCTTCTCACAAGGAAGGAAGGGTTAGAAAATGTCGGCCCTAAAAATGTCACACCCCCTAACTCACGGATTTCCGTCTCCTTGGGTAAGGGTGCTAAGGGCCATTAAGAACGGAGCTAACACTCAAAAAACCTCTCATAAAAAGGCCGTGCGTGACCGGCCTGAAGCAGTTGTCCCTTGGACTCTGCGGTCACGCTCCCAGGTCTCTAAGACCAACACTAATCTATCTTCCTTTTCAGGTTCCTCAAGAAACAACCTTCCACGGTGTGGGCAGCCGGGAAGTGACAACCGCCCTCATACCCGTACCAGCACACGAGACCGAATTGGTCAAAATCAAATCCTTCCTACAACCCCTAGTACCTCTCTTATCTCCACGACTAACTCTTCTCATTCATTTATCACAGTGCACAGCTAATACAGACGACACAAGTTTGCGAAACGTCGTTCCTGGTCTCCTGAAACCCCGCTCTAGACTACATGTTGGAGCATTTAATGTACGGACATTGTGTCAAATAGGGCAACAGGCATCATTAGCTAGGACTTTAGAATCTCGTGCCATCGATGTATGCTGCGTCTCGAAAACGCGCATACAGGATCCTAGTAAAATTATTAATCTGATTTCACCTTGTCAAAATAAAGAAGCAGCTCGATTTACTCTTCGTGTATCCGGTAGCCCTGATGCTGCTTCCAGGGGTCTTGCTGGCGTAAGTATAGCATTGAGTAGTAGGGCAGAACAATCTCGCCTTGACTGGATCCCTGAAGATAGTCGCTTGTGCGCCGTCCGACTAAACAGGACAATAAGGATTCGAAAGGATGGGGACACTCGTCGTTGCCTCTTCGTCAAATCAGCCCACGCCCCCACTGATTGCAGTTCAGACGAGGTTAAAGATGAGTTTTACAGAAAGCTTTCGGACCTCCTCCAAAAAGCTAGGCGCTCTGATATAGTTATAATTGCTGGTGACTTCAATGCTCAAGTAGGTAGACTGAGTGAAAATGAAAGACACCTAGTTGGATGTTATGGTGTCGTGGCTCAGAGAACAGACAATGACGACCGTCTGTTGCAAGTATGCTCAGATAACCGCCTATTCTTAGCAAACACCAACTTTAGGCATAAGGAAAATCTTCTGTTGACCTGGCGACCTCCAAAGTCGTCTCAACGTTGGACGCAACTAAATCACATCGCCATCAGCCACCGATGGAGGGGTTCGATAGAAGACTGAAGCTTGTTCTGGAGCACATGTTTAGATTCAGATCATGCTCTAGTGCGAGCGCGTATTTGTTTGAAGCGTACTTGGCGTAGGAAAGACACCGTAAGAAAGCCTCTTAGGGTTTTACTTAATGATAATAAGGCGAAAAATATATTTCAGGGACAACTAGAAAGACAGTTAGGCGACCATGTAAGCGATTCCCATCCGAAGGCAAGTTGGAATGATATCAAGAAGGATGTGGAAACAGCAGTGATATCTGCTGGTAAGGTTGACCATAAGGTTAGAATGACGCCGTGAACCTCAGTAGCATCCACCGATCTGATGGATGCCCGAAAACTCATCCCACCTGGCTCTGAGAATGATGAAGAACGAAGTCAACTTAGGCGCAGACTTATGAAAAGCCTACGTAACGACCATGAACTGTTGTGGGTGGCGAAAGCAAAAGCGATGGAAAAGCCAGCGGCGATAGGCAACAGTAGACAACTTTTCCGACTTATCAAGGAAACTGGTATTAGAAATCCTAGTGGTTGACTGAGATCTTATGTAGGATCTTGGAACTAGACGTAATCTCATCCGACTTGTCTCAATCTCTGATTGTCCCAATTTATAAGAAAGAACAAAAGTCCTCTTGTGACAATCACAGGGGAATAAGTCTAACCAATATTGATTCTAAAATACTGTCCTCAATAATACTTCTACGCTTAACGAAAGCTCGTGAAGAGCAGACTAGAGAAAACCAGGTTGGTTTCAGACCTGGATGTGGTTGTATAGACCACATCTTCACACTACAACAGGTCCTGGAACACAGACACACATTTAGGCGTCCTACAATAGTGGTTTTCCTGGACCTAAAAGTGGCATTTGACTCAGTGGATCGTGAGGTTCTGTGGCATTGTCTGTCATTGAAAGGTGTACCAAAGGAGTACATTAACCTCATGTTAGTTATTTCCATAACTAATTGTAGTTATGCCATAACTAACCAATCAGATTCGATAAGCGGTCACCATGCTATATATAGTCTGACCGGTCTGTAACCTTCCTTTGTTGTGAATGGTCTATCGATTGGAGGATGTTATTATTTTATTTATATTGCTGTGACGCATGTTTTTATTCATTTTCTAAAGACACGCTATACTGTCCGGTACGTTTGCTCATCATGCTTGATAATTGTAATTTCCGTATTTATTGTACTAAATTAATCGTTTTCTTTTGTTTAGAAACAGATAAAGTTTAAAAACCAAACTGTCTTCTGTTAACTATAGTTTCACTCTGGATTCTGTCATCGGCGGTATTTGCGTTTACGTTTTAGAATTACATCTGTAGGACAAATTAAATCCTACATAGTTTCGGACAGTAATTCATCAAAGGTTCATATATTGATTACCTTCAAATGTCCACGGAGATTCTTAAAACTGATCAGATTCTTAAATTGTCTCCTTACCGCTCGGAAACTCACAGTGAAGACCAGTTTAGAAGAAATAGCTACCGAATAGATCCTTTGTTAGAGTTAGAATTAGCAAAAGTACGTTTATCTCATATAGAGAAAGAAATTGAGTTAGAACGCTTACGTCAAAAAGGAAGAGAATATCGTAAACAAGTTGTGGCCGTTTCCGAGAAGAAATCAAATTTGTTCTCACACAGAGGCTTCCGTTGCATCACTCGAAGCATCGAAAGAATTAGCTAATTCACCTACCGTTCTATCAAGTTTTGCTATAGCTAAGAAAGACATTCCATCTGATTCTATTCTCGGATCAAATATTTCATCAAGCGTTGTGAATGCTGATTTGTCCAAAGATGCTTCGGTTAATTTATGGACATCATCATATACAAGTCAAGATTCTGCTTCGTGTCATTTTAATACATTGGCTAAAGTTGTTACAGCTTCTCAGACAGACTGTAAGTATTCGAAAAATCTTGAAGATTCTGCTAAGGAAGTAGTTGATGATAAACGGAAAGAAACCTTAATTTTAGCGGAAGTCGACCTAGTTGCAGGTGAAAGAGAAATGCCAGTTATTCGACAGCATTGCCGAGCTCATAATTCCGATGCTAATAAAGAGAGGTGTAATAATCATGGACTTTTTCATTTCGAGTTAAATGATATACACAACAACGGTGCTGAAAAGAATAACGAATCTCTCTGCAGGTCACGGATAGTAGTACGTTTAGTGTATAAAGGCAGACTGTTGATTAATACTCTCAGTTGGTTACAAATGCCTGCTGCTCTAGTTGACTCACGAACTTTGAGAATGGTTGCAATTAATGAGGTGAGTAGTTATGTAATGGCTGCATGGCGCAACGACTTCCAGTATCTTCGCCTACGTTATATTTGGGATCGCGTTGTAGAATGGACACCCGTCAGCAAGTTACGCAAAGCAACTTAGTACGAAATCCATTATGTCTGTGAAGAGCAAGGTACACTATCCACAAATAAAATCCCTAGTAAATTTGATCTGCAGTATTCATGCAGTAGTAGCAATGATTCTGCATCAGGAACATCTGAAGCTAAAAGAATCAGGACAAATGTGTCAGAAAGCAAGTCATTAGACCGCACTTCGGATCCTGAAACACATCGCTATCGGTCACGTCCTACTCATGTAAGTACAAGTGGTTTCTCTTTCTTAGAAGACAAAAAGACTCTTCTTCCAACATTATTTGATGGAATCATCGAACAGGATGGGATGGTTTGTGATAAGAGTGTTTCCCAGTCTCACGACGCCTGTCGAAGACGTCGTGAATTGAAAAGAAAAGCTATCGAAGAGAACGACACATGTCCATATGGATTCGACAGTTCTGTATCTGTTTTGAGTCAAACATACACCATCAGGTCAAACCATCATGCACTTAATCACCTCTCAGCTAAGGACGAACTAGAAGATAAGTTTGAGCAGTTGTATTCAACCGAATTCAAAGACCCATTTAGTCTTACCCCATCGATGTCTGTTGAAGATCGTATAGCATTCAACGCTTTATCAAGCTCAGTTCAAAGGCTAAATGAACACTACCAAATAGCTCTGCCGTGGAGGCATGAACATTTATTCTTTTTGTTCTCTCAAATCCTAATCTTCTGGATTCTTCAACACCTCTAGTTTTGTCTTTCTAAGCTTATCTCACTGAATCATACTTCTTGAATAATATCTTCTAATCGTAACCTCTCCGATAATTTCTAATACCCTTACTACCTCTTCTACTATTTGATTTGAATTGACAATTACATCTCTGTGTTGATGTGGTATTGCAACATGAACTGATGTACTTACGTACAAAGTTCTGCGTTGCGTCTGACTGACTGGCGACAAAACTGAAACGAACTATCTAATATATGTTTCTAAATGTTTATCAACCATTAAAGATGTTTTTCTTATAATTTTATCAGAATCTGATTGCTAATCGAGTATTACATCAAGCTATAGTCTACTCTTGGGTTGATTTAACATATTTCCGGACACTTTGACTACTGCTGAAAATCATATTATCCATTGGTTTATGCATGCTATGTGTAATGTTCAGAATTTTAGTTGGAAAGTCACTACAAGAAACTTCAAATACCCTGAAGAAAATTAGGCTACTGTCAGAGGTCAGTCATGTAACAAAGAAATTGTAGCTAAACGAAAAGTGGTTGGTTTCGGAATGATAAGGATAAACTTAGCTTAAAATGTGTTTAAATGTTCTATACATTTTTATTTTTGGGAATTATTTCACCTTAAACTATAGAGCCCAATCAAATAATTTAGCACTTGGTCTTTTATGAAAAATGAAGATTCGAACTAAATTTATTTGTTTTCTTCAAAATACTAGGTGAACTGCCATTCATATACATTCATCTAATTCAACATGTAGAAGCATCATTCGTGACCCTAGAAAAAAAAGATACTTTTTCATTCTAGATCTACTCTTTGTATGAAGTCAGTATAAGCAAATTTTTGAGTCTGAAATAGTTTTCCCCAATTTTGTCTCTGAGATAAACCATCAACATAGATTGTATCCTACACCAATTATAACCTTTTTTCTAATTCTGCCTTAAAAATGCAGAAACAATTGACTATATCTTATTTCAATAGTGTAAGTATAAAGACATTTAAGGTATGTACGCTTGTTAAGCTTCTTTTTTGCTGATATTTTAAACCAACACAATCACTGAATAATTTAATTAATTTAATTAAAACCTATCTAAATAAGTACACCAAAAAGCAATCAGTATGTATCCGACGATAGATCTATCACACCAACTTGCTATTTATGTTCCTTGATCTCTGTTTGGTTTTTCTTCTATCCAGGTGTAGATGATTATAGTTACTCTATCCACTTTATAAGAAAATACTGGTTTCTAACTGCTGCTTAACATTATTTTAATAAATTCCTGATACCAATGTTCTTTTAAAACAAGCTATGAACCATATCTTTTCAAATAATCTACTCTCATGTCAATGTGATCTACACGTGACACACCGTTCTGTATCAGTCTGATCATACTAGTAAATCAGCGCGCCTTCTGTAAATTTATTTATTATTTCGACCTGTACGGACAACAGTCATAAGTGAGATTGCGGGTTTGCTTTTTGTTCAAATGGTCTTTTGTGAACTATCCTAAAATTTTTTTTCTAAGTCACTAATAAGTAATTATCGACACGAAAATTATTTCTTACAGTTCATTGATCGATTAACACCATTGTTTACTAATAATTCAAATAAATAAATAATATCAAACTAAACTAAAAATTAATCCTGAAAAAATGTCGAAATGTATTACTTAATCAACCTAAAGTATTAAATTTTTAAAAATTTAAATAAATAAACCTACTCGAATTATTCTTCTAGCTCTCTCTACATTCTTCAACTGACCAGTTATTGAAACTTGATTACTTTTTTTAAAGATTGAACTATTACGATTTGAATCTGGAAAATGTATATGACACTGAGTATTCATCATAATCTTTTTAATATTCCAGCCATAACGACCAATTATATAACTATGATTTGTATGTGATATATCAATTTTCAATGTGACTCGTTTGATATCATTTTTTAAATGATTATTATGATTTGAAAATAATGTATCGTTCCCTTTTAATAAAACAAAATTTAGAAATTAAGATTTAAATCATATATACATATACAACTATTTATGTTTCGTAATTAAATTAAATCTTGCTAATTTTTAGTTATGACTGAATAGTTGAACAGATCAGAAGCTGAAATCAATTAGTAAGGTTGTTAACTGTGTTATGAAGTGCAGAATTTCTACTTTCAGTTCCCTGAATAATTAAAGCTTGCGGCGTAGGACCAAAGATTAGTTATTTACATTTCACTGGTAATGAGTGAGATACCGACGTTTTTTCGGTTTCTTCAGAATCGTTATCCTAACAGTCTTCTTTTCTTAATTTCGTTTGTTTCTTCTATTTGTAAGTTTCTCATTTTTAGAACTATCATTCTCATATGTACGAAGTTTGACTGACTGACCGACTAGTGCCAATTTCCTTTAACAGTGTTGGCGTAGTCTGTTAACTTAAACTATAATATATTTGCATCAGTTCATTCACTATTATTATCTATCCAGACATCATAATGTACTAGTTTACATATTTTTAGGATATTTAATAGTCTTAATTGTGAGTTTTGTTCTGTTTTATTTATTGCAGTAGTAACTAGGTTATCACGAATAACTAACTCAGTTTTGTATCGAATATACCTTAGGTAGACAACAACTGATATTTAAAAATAATTGCAGATTGTATTATAATATTTTACTCGTATTCTGACTCCTGCTGCTAGATTCGATGGTTAAATGAAGTAGAGCTTTTCATAATCTGCCTATTTTGTAAGGAAAATACAGTCACGATGTTTATAAGTATATTGGTTATGAAAGCAAAGAGATAAGACAGATAATATCAAATTCAGTAATATGTCTAGATGGTTAGTAGTGAATATTAATCCTTGAGAAATATTATCCTTATAATAGAGAGGTTACGATTAGTTTTAATTACAGGCTTACATTACTTCTAAAACATCTAAAAGTCATAACACAACGATTTCAATTCTATTCAAGCTCTTTAATCCTTTATTATCTTAGTAAGTCCTGTAATTGAACTCTAACCTCTTTGGAATTTATATATGTCTCTTCTTGAAGGTTGTCCACTGATATCATGAAGATATACATCGTACAAATGACAGATCATAAAAATTTTCACATCCCTTAATTTTTTTTAGTCAAAAGACTATAAGAGCCAGTTGAGTTCATAAGTAAGTACCTCTTATTACTCAAACTTATAAGTGATACGAATAAAAACGTATAATATAATTTAATAAGATATTAGAATTATCAAACTCAATATTTGGATAACTAGGATATTTATTATGTACATTTATGATCAATGGACTGTAACTCAGGAACGGTAAAAAGACAGGAAAATAGTAAGTGGGTTAGAGGTTAGTTTACCGTTAGGACTACTTATAAGTATCATGAAAACAGTTTAATGTTTCATGATGAAGATATACAATCTAAATCACTAAACAAAACCTATCCTCGTTTATATATTACTTTTGTTGACTCATTTTAACAGTTACTTACTACTTACTTACGCCTGTTACCCTCAATGGAGCATAGGCCGCCCACCAGTTTTCTCCAACCAACTCTGTCCTGGGCTTGCCTCTCGAGTTCTGTCCAATGTTTGTTCATTCCTCTCATATCTTTCTCTATTTCTCGGCTTAATGTGTTCCTTGGCCTTCCTCTTCTCCTTTTGCCTTGAGGATTCCATGTACGGGCTTGTCTCGTGACGCAATTAGGTGGTTTTCGTTACGATCTTATAATTTTATTTAATGATTTGAAAAATAACCAATCTTATTTATATAGCATTCACAAATATACATAAATTCACTTAAATGGTTTAACATCAAGCCTTATCAAGAAATGCTGATACATGATAATATCTACGTTAATGGATCTTTCAGGGTCGGTAATAGATATTATAACAAATAATTATATAATACTTACCTATAGTTTGATTAGGGTGAATAAAATATTGTGATAGTATCACATCATTTAAAAGTCCATTAGAATTTGAGAAATTCATAATTAGTTCTAAACCTATTTATTTTATTTGTGTGATATATATACATAAATAATCTCAAATGGATTTAAATTCACTAATCGATAATTTTAGACGGATTTAAAATGTTAATGTACTCTCCTTTGATTTAAGTATGTACACATCGTGGGAATAATGCTAGATAATAATCGAATGTTTTTAAACAGACGTATGTTAATTATTTTTAAATTGATGAGTGTTATATTGATGTAATATAAGCTTTTTATACACAACTATCACAGATAATTTTAAATAGTTCTTATATTGTTTTAAATAATAAGGTGATGTCAATAAATTTTTCTAAAAATATAGGCATTGGAAATTTCTTATTATTATTATTATTGAAACAAATAAAGATGTTTGCAAAAATTTAATTGTTCTTATTTATAAATTTGACATAATTTTCCCGATATTATGATATAAAGTACGTAAGTTGATTTTCTATGATTACTATTATTATGTTTTGACTGTAGGCAGCTGATGAAAAACTTCCAAATGTGATAAGTTCATGTTATTTGGTTATATTAATTGTTCTTTAGTTAATTTTTCAAAAATCTATCAGATGAATACTTTACTCATTGACTATATTTTGCTGAGAAGATAATCAGTGAATAAGTTAAATTTAGGTTTTGTACAAAATTAATTAATCATTTTCCGATAAAAAATATACTCATGATCCTATGAAGAAAAGTGAAATTCCAAAAGCAATCGACAATTCAGTTTTCTTAAAATTTTAGTTATGATAACGGTATTCAAGATACTGAAACTAATGCATGAACTTGCTACGCCATAGCCTCCCAAATGACTGCTGATCAGCAGGGCAGAAGTGAATAAGAAAGTCCATTGGGTTGCCGAACTACATAAGTAAATACTTAACCGATGGAACTCACCTGACCTTAAGGACATTTTGGGTTGGTATCAAGTGATCATATTTATTCACTTCTAATCGCCTCACCATATCACCATCCTCCTGTAGGTTTGACTTCATTTAAATTCACAAATTTTTAATGCTTTGTAGCATCTTTCACTCGTCTATCTTATAAATATCTGGTTGGATTGATTACGTCCAAAGTTGTCCAACACTAAATGGAAAATGAGATTTGTGAATAAATGTGTCGTACACTAGAAGTGTCGGATAACTTAAGAAAGTAATCATTTCTACAAACCGATGCCAATAAATGATCATATTATGGATCTTAAAGATACGCAAAAAAGGCTACATTGTGTCATTATTTCAGTTATTATTCGAATGTTTGCAAATCCGCGAAATATTACTTTTTTCAGTAATGTATCTAAATGTTTTCAATCATCGTTCATTACCTATCAGTTGGAAATTTTTCGCCTAGGGTTTTTACGTAAAATATGAAAAAGTTCTGATTAGTGAGTATTTTGATATGCGATTCCATTTTCATTTCTTTATTTTTCTCGTAGACGAACAAAAAGAAAACAGAAAATAAACAATATAATAAACACATTTCTGATATAATAGGTACATGCTGCTTTTACAGGCAAGGTTATTAATTTACGTCACAGGCATATGAAAGAGATACTATTAGAGTTGGTTTATTCAATCAATAATGCATATGAAACATATTCGTGAAGATATACCAATAAGTTTTCAAATAGGTTTGTGTTTTGGTAGTGTTCGACATAGTTAAAATTTCTTCGAAAATGTCAAGTGCAAACTGTGTCTTTGATGGACGCTTTAATACTCTAAAATTCACATTTTCTTGTCTCACTAGTGGTGCTAAAAACAATAAAAGAATGATCAATAAAACCTTATCGTGTGGAATGGAACAGATTAAGATATGTTAGTATACAGTTAAAGGTAGGACAAATGAGACTAGCTTCAGAGGAACTGTTATTATACTCTGGCCATGAACAGGAAAATGCTTCACGTGCACAATGAGTTGTACTGATGCTGTCCAAACATGCACAAAAGGCACTACTAATAGGATGGGAATCTCATGGACCAAGGATCATTAAAGCATCCTTCAAAACAAATAAAGAGGACAATACAATGAACGTCATCCAATGCTATGCACTTACCAACGACTACAATGACAACGTTAAAGATCAATTCTACGAAAGGCTGCAATCAATCGTCGAGAAATGTTCACCAAAGCATTTGACGATTCTTATCGGAGACCTGAATGCCAAGGTTGGCATGGACAACACTGGATATGATGATATCATGGGACGACATGGACCAGGAGAAAGGAACGAAAAAGGTGAGAGATTTGCAAACCTATGTGCCTTCAACAAACTGGTCATCGGTGGCACAATATTCCCGCACAAACGCATAAACAAAGCTGCATGGATTTCACCGGATCACACTACTCAAAACCAAATTGACCATATCTGTATCAACAAAACATTCAGGAGGACCATGGAGGATGTGAGAACCAAGAGAGGAGCTGACATAGCATCAGATCACCACTTGCTGATCGCCAAAATGAAACTGAAACCAAAGAAGCACTGGACAACGGGGCAGACAACAGCACAATAGTTTGATACGGCCTTTCCTCGGAATACTGTAAAGCTCAACGAATGTAAGCTATTTCCATAACTAATTGCAGTTATGCCATAACTAACCAATCAGATTGGTTAAGCGCTCACCATGCTATATATAGTCTGACCGGTCTGTAACCTTCCTTTGTTGTGAATGGCCTATCGATTGGAGGATGTTATTATTTTATTTATATTGCTGTGACTCATGTTTTAATTCATTTTCTAAAGACACGCTATACTGTCCGGTACGTTTGCTCATCTTGCTCGATATCAATTCTACGAAAGGCTGCAGTCAGTCGTCGCTAAATGTTTACCAAAGGATTTGACCCTTCTTATGGGAGACCTGAATGCCAAGGTTGGAATGGACAACACTGGATATGAAGACACATGGGACGACATGGACTGGGAGAAATTGACCCGAAAACGGTGAGAGATTGCAAACCTATGTGCCTTCAAACAAACTGGTCATCGGTGGCACAATATTCCCGCACAAACGCATTCACAAAGCCACATGTATTCCACCGGAACCACACTACTCAAACCAAATTGACCATATCTGTATCAACAAAAAGTTCAGAAGTACCATGGAGGATGTGAGAACCAAGAGAGGAGCTGATATAGCTTCAGATCACCACTTGCTGATCGCCAAAATGAGATTGAAACTAAAGAAGCATTGGACAGCGGGGCAGACAACATCACAGAAGTTTAAAACGGCCGTTCTTCGGGATACCGTAAAACTCATCGAAATCAAGATAGCCCTCACCAATAGGGGTCAGGGCCTTCAGGATCTACTCAATGGAGAGGAAGCAACATTGGCGAACAATTGGAAAGGTATTAAGGAGGCAATCACTTCAACATGTCAGGAGGTCCTTGTTCGCAAGAAGCACCATCACAAGGAATGGATCTATGTTGGTACTTCTGAAAAAATTCAAGAAAGTAGGAACAAGAAGTCAGCTACCAATGTCTGCCGAACAAGAGCAGAGAAAGTTAAGGTGCAAGCCGAGTATACAGAAGCAAACAGGGAAGTGAAGAAGAGCATCAGAGCCTACAAACGAAAAGTTGTGGAAGATCATACAATGACGGCAGAAAAGGCTGCACAGAGAAGGAAAGAACATGAGACAATTGTACCGAAAACTACAAAGGAGCTCGCCGGAAACTATTGTAAACCAGAACGACCAGTGAAAAGTAAGGAAGGGAAAATAAGCAGCAACACTGACGACAGCGAAATAGGTGGTGGAGCACTTTAAGGAACTATTGAATCGACCAGCTCCACTGAACCCACCC